TAGAACAACCAACGATATAGAGAGACTGAAACTTTTGGTCTAAGCCAGGCTAGCCTGCCAAATTTCACATCACAGGAGTTATCCAACAAGGCTAGGCTAGCCTAAAAATCCCACAGCACACTACACTATTTCTATCAAATTTGCTTATGACTTGCTGACATCATTATTATTTTATTTATTTGGCTGGAAGCTGCTTTCAGTTTCAGTCTTAAAAATCACATGAAATAGCATGAATAGTAGAACAATTGTCATGTTATGAGAAAAAACTCATTATTGTTTCCATTTGCTTTCATTGTAATGCAGGAATACACCCAAGAGAGGAAAAGGATGTTACACACCACATCTCATTCTTAGAGCTGTGCCTACTTGTCTTTCCTGGACATCCTCCCTATAAACAGACCCATGGCTCAAGACTCCCAGCAAAACCATGTACAACATCCAAAAGTGTTCCCGTGCCTCCAAAGAAACCCTATGACATTACAAAAGAACATGACTATTCTTTTTCTGTCTGAGTTGATTAGAAACTGAATATAACAGACAGCAAGTGCAGGATGCCAAGAAACAGCTTAAAGTGGTGAAACAAGGTAAACAGGAGAGATGGAAAAACCAGGACTCTCTTGCAGGAAGTCCACGAAAGCAAGCTCATTAGCCAGGATCAGCTTGACCTACTTCAACACTACTTTGGAGAGAACGCATTTTCAGGAAAAACAAAACAAAACATAGAACTTCATTCGTACAAACTACAAATACAGATCAGTGTTTTATATTTTGCCTCTTGTCTGCATAGCTTATCCACTGGATGATTGACTGTGAAGCCGTTTAAAACTGGAGAGAACTTTTAATAATCTTTTAAAAAAACAGAACAATCTGAGACTTTTGTTCTGTGTAATGAAATAAAATTTTGGGGACACATTGTGACAGTTGCACAACCTAACCATAATTTTCTGTTTGTTAACTTTACACGAAGGCAAACTAAAGTGGAACTTAGAAGAATTGATTACATTAGGGGTTAAACAAAATGTACTTGAATTTTGAGTTGTTGTGAGGTACACTGTATTTGAATATTTACTCTATAAGCTTCATGATTGTACCTGCTGTATCTGATTCAGTTGCTATAATTCGTCCCTATTTTCAGGAAGTGACGGTAGTGAGGAAAATCATAACGCAAAGTGAATGCATTTTTTTTCTCACTACCGTCACTTCGTGAGAACAGCGACAAATTTTTGCAAATTATTTGCACTCTACATGTGCTTTGATTCTGCAGGTACAGTATGGATAACCTGAGATAAACATGTAGACCTTTTTTATAACATTGTCTGGATTGCTCTCAAGTCTCAACCAAGTGATTTACATCATTAAAGATGAAAAGCAAGAAATTCACATCAAGTGAGCCCATTTTTAATAAACGAGAAGAATTCACAGATGTGTGGCAATTGAAAAGCCTGTGTAATGCACACCATATACACACCCATAGATCGTTTTGTACATAGGTTTGAATTTTGTTCCAAAATGGAAAACTGCTTTTGAAAAGATTTGATAACAGAAAAATTATATGGAATAATGTCACTAGATGTAAACCCATAAGATTGTGCACTCTTTGGCTTGTTGTATCTACTGTGTACATTTGAGGGTAATCAGTTTCAAATTTATTATTATACCTGATGAATAATGATGTCAAAAGACCATGTTACTATGAGGTTTCACTGAATAGTGTAGTGCAGTATCCTGAGATGTAAGTCTCTTCAATTATAGTTCTTCATAGCAATACAGGTGACTTGGAATATATATGCTCAATTACTATTTCTGGTTTGCATTTATTACTCGATGTATTATTTGTAAATGTGACGCGCCTGTGTGCGCTTGGAGCCAAGACTAGTTAATAAAGTGTTCGTTATCGCTGACATCTTGACACATAGACATTGGCCTCCTGACATTTATGTTTTGGGAGTTATTGTGGCGGTTTTGGGATGTGTAATGCTTCTCTTTGGTGGCGAATCAATTTGTTGTGGTTGTGTTGCCTATGATCCGTGACAGTAAATTTGGGGCTAAAATCTGAGGTGTTGTTTTTGCAATGTCTGTCTTTTCAATTGTGATGTATTATTGCAGTATATATGTCCGATAAAATGTCAAAACTTAAATGCCTATGCTGTAGAATATCAACACACGTGTGCCGTGTGGTAATAAAAGGTTCATTTATTCATTTTTTTCTTCAAATTTAATTATAAGTTTATTCTCTAAAACTGGTTGATGAAGAAAATAAGAAATACACTGTTTCAAGGAGAATATTATTTATGGAGAAAAAAAGTGGTGTGAATAAATAATTATTACATCAATGATCAGCTGTTTTATAGTGAACTGTAAAAAATTGAATTACTCTTTCAGACAAAAATAGAGATTTTATAGAGAATGGGTGAAAGACATAAGGTGTGAATTTGATATAAAATGAGTGAGAGAAGAAGTAAAAGAATGTTTGGATGGATGGATGAATGATTGGATGAGTAAATAACATAATTTTTTTAAATAAATGTGTAGGCCTATAATTCTTTCCTTCCCCCTCTTCCTATCTTCAGTATCGTCCTTTATCTGCATTTCCATTATCTACCTATCCTTCTATATTATATCTATCTATCCATCTATTTATGTATCTAGCTATCTACATACCCATCTCTATCCCAAATCTATAAGTATCAATCTGTTTATAATAGTCATAAACATAAAATGAATATATTACCTTTAAAGCATTTTAAATCAATAAACCCTGACTCTCATAATAACTGAATTAGAAAGACTTTGGCCCCCGGCATTGGCCCTGTAGCATAAAACTTTGTTTAATATCATGACATAAATATCAAATACAAGTCCCAAATGCTTGATTCTGATTGGTTGAAAGCCAAGTAATATTTAATGTCATAATATCGCAGTTTTATATTGACAAAGAGGAAGAAAAATTGAAGATATACTGAAATATAAATAGCTTTTTGTGTCCCTTTTACCTCACCATAACATCCGTAATTAATCTTGACCTACACCAGATACCATGACTGAGGCATGAGTAGGGTTCATGCATTATGCAAAATACCAAAATTATAACGTTTCATACTCGAAAACCGATAAATCAACCCGAAAAATGAAGCTTCACATTGCATATCAGTAGCACAGTTTCGAAGGGAACATCCGGGTATTTCTCGAAGTTGTGCCCTCCTTAGTAATGGCGGACCGCGCTCCATGCGCGCACAGAGCTTTGAACGGGCGCGTATGACGAGTCCGCACTCTAGCCTTATTAAGTATATATCTCTATGAAAATATTGTACATTTTGGCGGTATCAGCTTTTAATTTGGCTTGGACTGCTTAGATTTCACCGCTTAGATTTCCCTCCCCTAAAACAGGCAAAAAATTAAAAAAGTGTTTTTGGGGGTGCTCAAAGGGGGGTGGGGGTGTTGATAAACAAAAAATAGAGCCCCATACCCCGCGCTTATTCAGTGTCACTCGCCGCTAACTATTTTCTTACGAATTGGGCCCCCTCCCTCGATCGCCTCCGGATCCCCCCTGGCTACTACATAATTATGCTGAAGATATGCATTTGATCGAGACATAATTATGAAGCAGCAATTTACGATGGAACATAATTATACGGCGTAATACTTTTTTGTTTTAGTTTTCTTTTTACTGAGCCAAATTAATTTCATGTCTCCACACTTCCAACTTTTGGTTTGGACAAAGGAACATCAGCTAGCTTAGCGGATCGCAAAAGCATATTATTAAAACATTCTTTCGAGTAAATGTTCTGCTCTTTTAGTAATATTTAGGCTGAATATATATATAGTATAGGAAGGTGATGCTCGGGTATATTTTGTGTGATTTGTCACTTTATAGATTTTTATAATTAATTTTCATTTGCAAAAAATAGGGGGGGGGGTGTGAGTTAGCTGTCCGACAAAATGAATTTTCGAGTGATAAAACATTCAGAAAGGGCTCTCAGACTACTATAAATGGGAACGTAATCATTGATATGGCTAGGCCGCACTCTCGCACTCGCCAAACTTCACTATAGGGGCGCCCCTTTCAACATCAATCTTCTTATTTCATATTACATCAGTAATTCATTATTATATAGGCCTATATTTTGTGGTATTCATGGAAATGTGTCAAAGACGTTAAAAAATTATCAATGCACATCCAGAATAGTATAAGGAACGTCAAGTGAGACACTATAGCTGAATTGGTAGGGATTAAGTAATCACGATGCAATAATATTTAAAGATCAGTTAATTAGGAAATGTTTCGGAAATGTTGCCCCGTTTGACCATGTTGGCAGCAATTAGAACATACTCTCATATATATTATTTCAATTTGATTAATTGTATTTATTTATTTATTCATTTACAAATATTTATAGGCCTACATGATGACAACATCAGCCAAAGCTGTATAATGTCAGCTAAAGAGGGATGATATTGAAAATTAGGTATATACACAATCTGGTAAACAAAAGAAACAAATGCAATTACGGTGATCTACATCCAAACAGTCTTTGGAAAGATGAAAACTGCACCCCATTCATCAGATTTAGAACTTTAGACTCACACAATGTGCTATTTAAAGTAAGCCAATGTTGACGACGGAATAGAATGCTATCACTGCGCAATAACCGTCAAAATAACGCATTCACACAATACAACAAAGCCATATCTGCAATTAAAACACAATCATTATAATGGAGCCCGTACAAGAACCCTCTGGCAAAAAGACAGATCCAAATCAATGAAGAATTCCAAGGATAAATGATAACAAAGATTTTTCTAATACCAATAATATTGTGCTCCAAGCTTTCCTAATGATTAAACCCGTTCGGGCGCATCGAAGGATATACCGATAAGTTAACGCCACACAAATTTCTATGGATGACGTCGAACCCTTGATGAAGTATTGGACCAATCAGAAAGCTAAATGAAAGCTGCACCCTCATTACTTATGCAAAACTCGACTCGGATGCCCTTCGCGCCGGTCACAAAGTGCATACAACAGGTGAAATTCATCCTGCACTAGTGACTTATTGTTGGGTGTTCAAATTTGTTTTCAGACTTCGAAGCTATCTGCTTCATACGAGTCCCTGCAGGGTTGGTGGAAACTAGTTTTCACTTCATAACTTTTTGGTTTCTCAGCACGATCTTCGTGAGTTTTGAACTTTACCTTGGACGTTATGGGCAAGTCGGAGGAAAATGGAACCATGGAAACAGCGGTAAGAACATATACGATCATCCTTTCCTTCTGTGACACTGAATGATATATTCCGAGTGGAAAATATAAAGTTTAATAAGCTTTAAGATATAATTCATTTTTTAAAAATGTTTTGGTAATTTTACACGATTGGATGTACAGATTAATGTTACCAAGTTAAGTAAAGATTGTGCGATATAAGCACAGGATCGAAATTCAAATATAGTGACTGGAGTACGTAACGATATTCTATAACGCGTCACTTGTAAAATGAACCAGCTTTGAGAGTCAAAACTGCGTTAACTCATATAAACTTGAACACAGAGTTAACACGCTTCTGACTATAAACAGACAAATTATTAATTTATTGAAAGATGAACCTTTCTGTAAAAGGTATTACTTAATTCAGAGCTGATTTATTCTTACAATTTCCAAAGAATGTGGTATCAAAATGAACGATCTTCAGCAGTGTTCAGTTAATGTGGAGTCTGCTATAATGTCTGTCTGTTGTGGTTGAGATTTGTTTGAAAAGAATGATTCATAAGGGTTTGTGGTTGTTTGTATAAGCCAACATTTGAATTGATAGATACTATTTGCTCTTCACACGATGTATGGATATGCAAAGAGATGAACGGTGCATGTTGTGAAGATATGAACCCTGCACATGCATGCTGTGCGTGATTTAATTCGATTTTAAAGCAATACATGCAGAGAGTATTATACGCAATTAGTTTAGGAGGGGTAGGCTTTTTGGTTTAAAAAATACACATACCAAGAGAGGGGGAGACAGTCAGAAAGAGATGCGAAATGAGAGAGAGAGAAGAGTAGAGATAGAAATAGAGAGAGAGAGATAGAGAGAGGGAGAGAGAGAGAGAATGGCATAAGAAGAATAAAGTAATGAGGAGAGTACATGGTTAACAAATGTGGATACCACTACCATGGTTCCTTCAGGTTTTAAAAGGCAATCAAACATTTTGTTTTAAAGCAAAGTTGGATTAAAGCAGAGAATTATAAAGCAACACCTTTCGTGAAAGTTAAAAAAAGTTGAGACAATTAAGGTCACTAAATGTACTAGCTTGCTCCGTTTTAATGGATGCGATTCTTAATTTTTCGAATTTTCGACCGTGTTGCAGTTTTAAAACGCTTCGATTAATAAGCTGACATAATTATATGAGAATCAGGGCTGCACTGAAGATAATGGTTAATCCTGCTTATTCATTTTACACTTAAGTGAAATTTTGGTCTTTTGTGAAAAAGAGTTATTACCCAACATGTGGGGCCTATAATTATGACTAGTGGAACCTATATTCCCATTTCCATTTTACCAAAAAAAAATCATATCGTTATTCCTATTTTAGTTCGTTCGACCTTTCACAGGACAGGGCCTCTCTGCATTATAGCTTCTCTTCGAAGCTTGCAATTTGCTGTCAAGGTTGAATTGGTCTTTATTGTTCCATATGTATTCACTTATCATGCTCAATGCGTATAGAAAAGCGTCTTTCAAAAGGACAATACCATATAGATACGCCATTAGTAAACACCCATCTAACTCGTAGACACACTCAAGACGGTCAATTTTTGGTCTAAATAAGTTATATTCTGTTGATGTAAAGGATCATATTGTGGTAACTAAAAACATGATTGGTAGTATACAGAAAGACATACTATGATAGAAAAATACGTAATGATAATCAAATGGCGGCGTCTATTTGTGGAGCAGCTATTCAGAGACGCAGAAGGAATATTGCAAAGTTGAAGTTTGATGTTAGAATAAGAAGCAAATGCTAACATATTAATGAGTCTAGTATAACTAAAGAGTGAAAAGTCTTAAGTAATTGAGGTAGTGAGGCCCGGCTATGCATTGCATTGATTAGAATAAAACGCCTCCGGTCCCCCAAAAACTTGTGGTTGGGGCGGCTCCCAGTGTTGAACACTATACACTGTGCGTCAGGATGGTCAAAACTAATGACATGAACAGGAGCCGGTTGCATAACATTTACCATCGGTGGTAACTTTGCAATCAATATACTATAACAACATCACTCGAAAGCCAATCAAATCAAGGTTTCCGCGGAAGTTACCATCAATGGTAAGGTTTATGCAACGGGACCCAGCAACGATTTATGAAGGAACAGCAACAGCAGTAATATGACTGCAAAACAACATTATCAGACTCGAAGTCAGAAATTCATTCCGACATTCATCCTGAAGAAAAACAGATCAACCCTTTGTAAGATTGCATGAGGTCAACAAACAATGGCCTATGTTATTGTACACTTCTTTGAATATAGTCAAGATAAGTTTACCAAACAGCTTAGGATCCTACTAAATATATACATAGTCTATTGAAATGCACCCGATTTCTTGTTCAAACATCGTTCTCTGTGCATTTTAGATAGATTATACTTTCTTTTGTTACGTAATAATGACTCGCAGGGACACACAATTTGTCTTAGCTAGTCAATGTTATACTGCAAGCATTATACATGCATGGGAACATTTGTATATGGGGTCGAAGTTGAATATATTAACAATCATCGTTGTGGCAGATAAACTATTATTTATGAGCAAAGAACGTTCCTCTATAAAAGAAAACCAAGCTGAAACCAAAATGAAATGACTATTTTGAAAACCTCAGAGTGACTATTGATCAGACCATATAAAGTATATTTTGCTCTCTCTAATTATCCTTTTTATCTCTCCTCCGTCCTAATCTCCCTCCGTCACTCCATCCCTTCCTCTCTCCTCCCCCTTCCTTCTTCCAATCTATCTTTTCTTCTATTTTCCCCATTTTCTGGCTTTGATTATTTCCCATTTGCTCTGTCTCTACTTGATCTGACTTATTTGTTCTCACTTCTTTCTTTCTTTCTTTCTTTCTTTCTTTATTTCGTTCTCCTTTATCTTTTTCTCGCTCCTATTTCGCTCTACAAGCAGGTACGAGCACGTACGAGCAACATTATTTCAATTCTGTCTGACCCAGAACATTCGCAGTTCATGCATTGTTCCTAAAAGTCTTATATCATGAACATTACTTTTTGAATAGATTCATGGCGAAGAAAGAATTTTCGCACCAGTAAGTTATCAACAACAAAAAAAAGTCATCATCAGCTTTCGCTTCTTTACTTGATTTTTTAAATTATTATTTCAATATGAATCCATGCAGAAAAGTCAATTAAGGACTGATTAAGTGGGAACACAATATTTTTTATTTACTTTATGATGTTCATCGATTTCTCTATTCAAGCATCTTATTCGGTTTGCTTTGAAAGTGTCGGCAGTTTTCTCAATCACATTCCATACCCAGTTCGTTGCCCTTTAAAATTGGCGTTATGATGCATGGAAAGAGTTCAATGTCTGGTTCACAATTCACTTTTTACGTATGGCATTAAAATCAGAACAAGGAATGTTCTGCCAAAGTGGGATCTCTTCGTCAGAGGGCAGGGGCAAAATATCCACCCCATCGTCTTCTATGATAACTTCCCCTTCATCTCTCAACCTCTCCCTCCCCCCTCTCGCTCTCTCTCTCTCTCTCTCTCTCTCTCTCTCTTTCTCTCTCTCAGTCTCTCTGAAAAATATAATCCCGCAATATTATTACAATTTTGATGCGCTAATTAAAAGAGAATTTTTACTTTTGTAGACTTCTTTGCTTTCTTTACAATTAACGAATGCAATTGTACTGGGGAAAAGTGCCATAACTTTTTTGTTTTGGGGAGAGAGAAGAGATGCCACAGCCAGATTTAGCTATTCTCTGGATATTCTAAAGACGTCAGCACCGATGAAATTGTCAACTGTGTACCAAAACTTCACTTGGCATATACCTTCAAACGGCGCATCATCATTGAATAATACAGACGGTACGAGGACAACCTCGCTGAACAATAGCATTCATTTCTATAACTGCGGCTCAGAATGGACTTCTTTGTGTAGAACAGTACAGTGGTAGAACGATCAAGAGAGAGAGAGAGAGAGAGAGAGAGAGAGAGGGAGGGGGGGGGGGTATTCGCTTTTGTGCTTGTTGGCTGAAGGGTCAATGTATTGTAAAGATCTAGGTGAAAATAATAGCAAATAATATAATCCAATGCGATCGGCATCGATATATTTCCTGCGGTGATTGGTAAACAAATTGAACAAATTTCAAAATAGCAAATATACGTGTTTTCAACGCTCGTAAAATGATGTTCATTGGGGCGTTGCTTGGTAGTCCTGAATGAAAAGGGATATTCAACCGAATTTGGTATGGCATTAATCTTCTACTGCCAATTTCTGGATACAGAACTTGAAGTCATGGGTACAATGGTTGCTTTAATTTTTAGGACTAAATGCTATACTATTTATGTAAAGTAGTCATGTATTTGTACATCATTTTACTGCCAAAAATTTGGCCGTGTAAGAAGTAGTTGAAATGATGTAGGGGTTTAATTCCCCCTTCCTCACTTTTTTTTTTTTGGGGGGGGGGGGGGAGGGGTGGTGTCTATACCAGATACTACAGAAGTATCACATTATCTATGTACAAAGAAAGTTAGAGAATCTCAGACTTTGTGACGTCACGAATACCACCATTTTGTCGTTTGTATATAGTGCTTACTAAATTATTATCATTTTTAATGACATATAACTGATCGGGATGAGTCATACTTGAATAGAAGCCCTTGAAGAAGAAAAAAATCTTCAAAACTTTTAATATTAAAGTATTAGCAATAGCACATAAAAAATGTTATAGTATCCCACTACTCTGCCGCACCCATTTTTCCATCGTCGATTGGTTTCAGTGGGTCAGTTTGATTTCGAATGGACATCAGCTTCTCATCAAGGGTTAAATATAATATAAGTATAACCCAATCCATTTATCTGCATCTAAACAAAATGGCAGAACATTCAAACATCGAGCCATCGAGGTCAAACAGAACCGATTTTCTTCTCTTTTTTTTCGTTCCGAAATTAAATCTGCCATGAAAAGAAGAAAATAGTTTATGGTCGATCGGTTTCGGAGCTGAAAAGCGAAGTCAATGCAACGATGGAAGACCTCAGTGAGAAAAAAAGTAATACCAGTAGGAAAATAGCTTTTGTATCCCATCTGCCATGACGAATTGACCCATTTATGCCGTTTGGAGGTCGTGATAGTGCTGTGCAGTATTTGTAGGTACAAGTTATGATGATTTTGGTCTCTGAACAAGTCATTCAAAAAAATGTATTAAAGAGGTAAACCTCTCTCTCTAGCGACAAGCTATAACATTGATTTGTTATTGTATCCCAATGGTCAGAATGCAAATTGCATACATTATTTGCTGCTTGGTCGGACAAACATGGCTTGCTATGTCTGACAAGTTTGACAACACGCATTGTATGCAGGCGCGTACACAGGGGGGGGGGGGGGGGTTGAGGGGTTAAACCCCCCCTTTGGTATTTTTTTTTGTGTAAAACCCCCCCCCCTAAATTTCCCTAAAACCCCCCCCCCCCTTTTGGAATTTTTTTTTTTTTTTTTTTTTTTTTAAGTGTCCTCTTACCCCCCCCCCCCGCTTATTCAGCGGTCGGCTGAGTCGTTGCGAAATTTTCGGCCCTATTTATAAATGTTAACCCCCCCCCCTTGAAAAAATCCTGCGTACGCGCCTGATTGTATGTTATGTGCATTATGACGAATGAAATACAATCATCCGTAAGAGGTGACTGAAATAATTGTTAACGAGACACTTTAATAACTAAAACGTATCCACTGAAATTCCTTACATTACGAAAATTATATGGATTATTGGAAAGATACGTTCTCTCATTCGGGATCATGGGGGGGGGGGGGCATTGTAAAAATTATGAGAGAGCAGGCACACTTCCGATTCTATTACCAACTGCTAGTCTCAGAAATATTACATGGATGATTTTCATTACCTCTTGTACTTGATCATTCTTATAATAAATGAGAATGTAGGCAGAGTTACATGTATCACGAAATCACGACCGCCTTAACAATGGTAGGGTTTCTCTGCATTAACAACGGTTGCACTTTGAACAACACCTACTTTTGTAAATGTTGGTAAATAAGGTGTGCCTAGAATCCTTTCCAAAGAACGTTGGCGCCTCCAACAAGACTAAGCAACTTCATTTACATTTAATTTTTGTTTAGTTACGTGGCGCATTGTCTTCTTTTCAAAAGCAGAACTACCATTGTATTTAAACAAGCTATACACATAAAGCTTGAAATATTCAGTAGTGGTTCACTGATGAAAAGCAAAAATATCGTTTAGTATATCAGAGAAAGCTAGTGGGCGTTCAGTGGTATAGAATACATGACATTGTATACACGGAGGCAGAAAGGGGGAACGCAAAATGAATGGAAGAACATATCGAGATGGTTATCGAGGGATTCAAGAGAGCGATAGAGAAGTCAGGACAAGAAGAGAAATGATACAAGCAAGGTTTATAATACCGCTGAAAAATTAGATGTAGATTGATAGAAACATAAAGGGTGTGATGGAATTATGCACTATTCGAGAAACATAACGAGAAGAGAGAGAAAGAAAGAGAGGGAGAGAAAGGGGGGTAGACAGAGAGAGAGAGAGAGAGAGATCAGCCGTAGTAGTAGCAGCAGCAGCAGTACTAGTGTATAATAGTAGGTAGTTGTCATAGTGGCAGTGGTAGTAGTCATGGTAGTAGTATAGAGCCAGAAGTTGTATATAGTAGTAATTGTTGTAGTATAGTAGTAGCAGCAGCAACAGCAGTAGTAGAATATTTTCTTCATCTTCTTCTTTGTCTTCTACTCCTTTTCTTTTATCTACTCTCTCTCTCCTTCCCTCCTTCCCTCTCTTTCTTTCTTTCTCTCACTCACTCATTCTCTATTAACTATTCCAAGTTTTTTCCTCTATTCTCTCCTCCTCTCGATATTTTTTTTTCTTTCATTCTTTTTTAATTATTAATGTCTGTTACAATACATCTTCTCGGTATACACTGATACTTTCATTTCATTCTCAAACTCATGATGTATGGCAATCCCTACCTCAGGAATTACCAGTTCGAATTTGTTTCCTCTGGTATATACGCAATCAAAATGTCTCTTTATCCAATGAAACTCATAAAATACTGTTTATTCTGTTTATTTTTCTTGTGCGCCTTGAAATAGAATTGTCTAGACAGACGGCGCTATATAAATAATGCCTATTGATTTGATTACAGTGCGTATAAAAAAAGATATATACTATGCTTCTTTGGTCATAAATCCTTTCAACAGTTGAATCACTCCTCATGCTTCAGTGCTTCATTGTTTAAAATTCAGTTTCAACCCATTGGATAACCTTTTATTATTTTAAACAGCATACTAACTTCTTGTCTCATGATGTCTATATTATTTTCTCTCTGCTCATTTGCCCGATGCGTCATTTCACACGCGTAATGAAAATAAAGTGTTTGTCTCGAATAGCAAGTAAAAACTCAAATGTTACTAAACCAAATGCAAGAAAAAACTCATGATGATAAGTATCACATAAATTTCTGCCGTCGGAAATGTGAAAATTGTGTCCACCTATATTTCGCTCAGTGGGGGAGTGAACATTTTTTTTTCTTCTCAACATCCACCCCTCCCCTTCCCCCTTGGGAAAAAAAGGTAAAATTATCGTTACCATTTAAAAAAAAAAACTGTTTTTTTGTCCCCCACCCGTGGATCCGCCCCTGAGGCATGGTATTATTTACCCTTTACAATGACATATATGATTCAAGGTCACGTCATAGGTTATAACCTTTAATTAGAAGCAGCCAGAGTCGGATACACTTGTTTATATGCAATGTATGGACTCAAAACAAATAACTATACAGCTCATTCGGTAAATCTTAGATTCTCTTGTATCTCTTTAAAATCACACCCTAGATTGATTTTTGGTGTTTTTTGTGTGTGTTATGTTATTTCTTTCCATCCAACTGTCAATTTATCTTTTTAAAGTGATACATTTCTATCTCAATGTATGTTCGTACCGATATCATAACATGCCCTTTATAAATCTCGTCAGTTCCGTAATTACTTTTCTTTATCTCATATTCAGCTTGTATTTTTTTATCAGAGTATTAAAGGTAAAGACCAGTATTGGAAACGCCCCAATTTCAAAAAATGAAATGGAAGCTCTCATTACCAATCATGTGAAAGAATATGTTTTGACTAATACATGATGATAAAAACGGGAAACCGCCTACTAATTCATATATTTGGAAAATTTGTTTCTCTCATGGTCTGTGAGAGATATAGGGTAGTCCCATATACATCATTCTGTGTATAGTGCTTGTAACTTTACGAAGAATGGGCCAAATTTCTTATCATTTTGATGATTCCAGAACCTTGCAGATGCTAGATGCTAGATGATCAATCTTTTCTGATCGATTCCACAACGTTTCTTTCACAATGCAATCGCATGACCATAACTGGTCTTTACCTTTAAACTTTTTTTATCAAAAAGGTCCCAAATCACTATTTTAGCACGTTGTCTGTTCCCTTTGTAGTATTTTTGTGAAAAATTGTGTTATTATGTTACTTTTATATATACGTGTATATTCCACATACAAAGAATCTTGCGCTACGATTGGTCAAAAGTAAATCACGTGATGAAAGATAGTTCGCCCATCATTGATGGAACTATAAAAGTTCGTTGCACTGATTTGTTGCTCTATAATGACGGAAAAAATAAAATGTTTCCGATGTGGAATATAAAGCAAATAATCACCTTTTGGTTTCAGGTGATGGCATACTTTTCACTTCCTCGGCGATCTGAATGTACATCCAGATCGCCTCGGAAGTGATATTTTGTCCCATCACCTTCACCAACGGTAATTATTTGCTTAATATTTTTTCTTTCGTTTCTACAGACGGTGAACTAACTAATGTCATTTTTAACCATCACTCATGTAAATATTGCTTTTGAACGTTGAAGTATGTTCTTGTTATAATTATGTACCATTTTGATTGTGAATTATGCACAATTCAACATCATGTTGCGACGCATGATTGTTTTTTTAATTTTAATTTCAATAAATACCATTTTGGATTAAAATTGAATTAAAACCAAGTCGAAACGAAATTGTCCTTCGATAAGGCACATTAAAGGTACTATGTCCCATTTGCAGCCCACATTACATTCTGTAGAACTTTGCAGGAATTATGAATATGTCGAATATGTCCTATCTGTGAAATTTAAACTTTAGCAGTATCCTATTATTCAAATTATGCAAGAAAACCCGTTTACCTTCTAGACTTCACTGTCAGACACTATTGAGTGAGTGACTGATTTCTCTTGTTTCTTTGCTAATAATATACATAAAATGAGCTGTAACAGGTACATGAGCATTTGTCTACATCAATAACCAACTTCGTGTAATGGCCAAAATTAAACTGAGTGAATCTTTGCGCAAAAGACTGCAAAATGAACACATTACCTTTCAGAGGTATACTCAATGACCACAGTCCCTTCGTAAGGACTAAAAACCGCAGGTCCATTGTTGCTTTCCAAATTGTACATGTTTGGCAAAATGGTCACTCTGATATGATGACATCATCCTCAAAATATTCCAAGTCCCTCCGATAGGAGCTGCGGTCGTATGTCCATGCACAATCAATCATATACACTTTTCACCCACAGGGTGCAGACGGAGTGGAAGGCGAGTTCAAGGGAGACGAGAACGAGGAGCGAGGGAACTGGAGTAACAAGATGGACTTCGTACTGTCTTGTCTTGGTTACGCCGTAGGTCTAGGAAACGTCTGGAGATTCCCTTATCTGGCGTACAGAAACGGAGGAGGTGGGTTTGGTTGACAATATAGAGGTTTCCTTGTACCAAGGGGTAAGCGTGGTTGGTATCAGTATGAATCTGGAGGGACTAGAGCTGGAGTTGGTATTGGTTGTTTGATATTGGTATTAGTTTAGAGATTCCCTTAAGCGTTGGTCACATCCCACCGTGCGTGTTTTTAGTCCGTACGGTTTTTGGGGAGGCCACGGTCGCCACGTTTTTCTGAAAACGTAGGGAGGGAGTGGCAAAGGCAGGGAGGGAGTACCGGCAATGCGCGTCACACGCACTGTGTAAGTACGTGGCCCGCACGCCACGCCTGGGCGTGAACGGTTGCGTGCATCGTACGTTGCGCACGTGGTAAGTGCGTTGTACGTGCTTACAACGTACTTACAACGTACGGTCTCCGTGCGGTTACCACGTTATCGTACGGAGGCCGTACTTACAAGAGCTGCTCACGTACGGTGTCCTTACTCACTCGCATGTTGTAAGTGCGTGTTTATATAGGACGACATTCCGATGTTCTCCAGAAGTCCCAGCTGTTGCTGCCTCAAGATGCCGCCCATTCCACCGAAGAGACTATCTACTGCATACATCAGTGCGAACAACGTGCGTTGTAAGTGCTTAATCGGTACGGTCCACGTGAGATGTGCGTGCTCATTGGATAGCTAAACTGGGGAAGTAGTGAGTAAGCACGGACCACGCACTTATCACGTGCGCCTTTAAAAGACGCACGGAGTCAGTGCGTTGTGCGCTCGTTGGCAGTACCGGGCACGCAATTCACACGCACTGGGGTGAATCGGTAGCCCGAACGCAGCCCGAACGCAGCGAAAGTTCCTCATGCACTAAAAGTGCTACGGTGTGTCTGCGTGCTCCCAAATCCGTACGGAGGCGGTACTCATCACGTACGGATACCCAAATTTTGCCCACGTTTTTGCACGTAGACAGCACGCACTTGCAAGTACGGCGGGATGTGACCACCGCATTACCTAGCTCGCAGGAGGAGAGGGGGCGTTTTTGTATTATTATATATTGGTATAATGCATAGAGGAACAGGATGGGGGTGGGGGTGGTTGAAAGTCTAGAGGTTCACTCAGGCGCGTACGCAGGGGGGGGGGGGGGGGGTCAGCATAATTCTTCAATTTCCGTCACAAAAAATATATATATGTGCTCTTACCCCCCCCCCTTCAAATATGGTGACAGAATGTTTAAAGAATATGTTAAACAAATAAAGATACCAGCAAAGTGTCATCAATATTGGTAATTTACCGACTAGCCTCTAAAGTAAAAAATAATAATCTGCAATTAGGAAATGTTGAATAGCTAGTGCTATACACCCTTCTCTAACGAAGACTCAGGACGATCCTGGATGTTCCTTTACCTGTCTCTTAGGCCAAGTCAAAGTTAAAGGACGTCCTGTTCGTAATTCATCAAATAAAATAATAATACTGTACATTTTATAATAATGCTTATGATCGCATTACTGGAGAATCCTGTTAGAGATTGACATGTCATGACATGACATGACATTGTATCATGTAAAAAATAAAATGTTGATATTTTTTATTTTTTGTTTGAATTTATTCTCACTTCTCGCAGGAGCCTTCCTCATCCCATACGTCATCATGTTGTTTTTCGCTGGTATACCGCTCTTCTTTCTTGAGGTGTCACTTGGACAGTACTGCAGCCTGGGACCTATCCGGTGCTGGAAATCTGTGCCGCTCTTTAGAGGTGAGTCAGCGGAATGGTTGTGATATGAGGAATATACGTATTCCCTTTTTAAAAACATATTTGTATGGGGGAGGCAGGACGGAACCAACTACAGGGTTAGACGGGAACAGAGAAAACACTGAATCTTGTTATAAAGTACATTCCATTACTCTCTCGTCGCTATCTCGTAAATGTCTTAACACTTTTCACCGCTATAGGTTGCCAATATATCAGTACTATCTCGGCAATATCACGTCATTGTCTCATTACTAATTCTCCATATTGAGCCATAACTATTTACTTGCACTATCTTGACATCATCTTGTCACTTCGTCACTATTTCTTCAATAAACTCTTTATTATATATAGTCACTATTTCTCCACTAGATCTGCCTTGCAACCATCTCGTCACTATAATTATAACGTCATCACTATTCACAATTGTGAAACTAGCTCATCCCTGTGTATATAGTTACTCTTTTCCGCGTAGTTTTCGTCACTACCTCGTCACGATTTTTTCACCATCTCGTCACCGTCCTCATGACACCGTCACTATCCTTCACCAGTTGTCTAGTTGTTACTAATTTGTCACTCTAAGTCCTACATCCTCTCAGTCTCATCAATATCTCATTACTATTATGTCACTATCAAGCCAATATCTCGTCACTATCTTGCCACAATCCTGTCACGATTTCATTGCTAATTTGTAACCATTTCATAAAATTATCTCGTCGCTGTGTCTTCCCGATATCGTTACTATCTTTCCACGTTCTCATTTCTACACCACAACCTACTAAAGCTTGTCAATATTACTTTGTCACTAACTTGGCACTATCTTCCCACTAGGTATCGGGTACTGCCAGATGGTTACCGTATTCTACGTCGGTATTTACTACAACATCATCATCACGTACACTGTGTACTACTTCGGTGTATCCTTCACCTCCAATCTACCGTGGGTCGGGTGTGGTAATTCGTGGAACACCAAGTACTGCTACGACAACTACAGGCAATGCATCGACAACACCAGCATCATCACAGACACCAACAACACCTGCGTGCATCTCGAATCCCTGGACGAGCAAACGCTCAACGTGTTCGGCGTTGCTCGGAACACGTCGTACGATGAGGGGGAAGCCATGCGATACGACCTGACAAACTACACCGATCCGTTGCAGGCGGAGCGAAAACTGGCTAGCGAGGAATATTGGAAGTGAGTTGTGAAGAATTAATATGCTTTGAGGAGCAGACCAATTTAGCTCCGTTTAAACTAACATCTACTGTATTAGACTGAGATGCATTCGTAGTAGCACCATAGATTGGGCTCGAAATCCTTCACCTTGCACTTGCCTCCGTCCTCTCTCTCTCTCTCTCTCTCTCTCTCTCTCTCTCCCCTCTCTCTCTCTCTCGTATGTAATTGTAAAGAGTAGGCTGCACTTACTAAACAGTACGGGCTGTTTATACATTTGTTCATATAATGACAAGGAAAGAGTCCGGGCCGAGGAGGTAGCTTTATACCACTTCTGGGTTAATTTGTGCCAAACTTAAGACAACCTAGCCAAATCTCGATCTTTCTTTTTCCATTCTTTTCTCTCTCGCTCTCTTCCGGTTTTCTTCTTCTTATTCTTCGTAGTCATCTCCTTCTCCTCCCTCTTCTTCTCCCCCTCCTCTCCGTCTCTCTTTACCCTTATTTCCCCTTCTCTACCCCTTCTTTCGTTTTAGGTACACGTCTTTTATCTTCATGACCATATCTATGTGATGTCTGAACGAATGCTGGTAGTGCTATGATAGTAAGTTGTGCTATCGGAGTTAAAGCCATGGCTCACAGAAGGAGTCATGTTATATTTTATCGTTGTCAAATACTAATTTATTAGCGGTGTTCTTGATCAGGGGAGCAGTCCTTCAGGAATCCGATTCAATGAACGATACCGATGGGATCATCTGGCAGCTGCTCATCTGCCTCTTCGTCTCCTGGCTCATCGTCTATCTGTGCTTGGTCAGGGGTATCAAGTCCTCTGGAAAGGTGAGATCATAAGTAAAAAGAACGGTGTCATATGCCAAGCTCGACCCCAGGCTAGTTCTGGATAACTCACAGATAGCTCAATCGGAGGAAAGCCGGGAAACACCTGAAAATGATTTGGCTGCCTCAAGTGTAGGAACTTGCACTGACATTATATGAGCAAGTTTAACTTACGTATCTGAAATACCCGTATTATTAAAGTCTTATAAGTTTTACTCTGGGTTTGTCGGAAAGAACTCATAGGCAGCTAGGAAAACACACTTTGATAATCAAAAACTAGCAATGATTCATCATCATGTTTCCAGTATTTGTCGTGTCTCTAATATCTGGATGAAGTCGTACAATTCAAATGCAAATGAAGCTTAGCAAAATATGAGTGTGTCTCGCTATTTGGAACCCTGACACACAAAGAGCAATGCCGATTTTAGCTCAAGCTTCAGAGTTAAAACGCAGCAGAAGCAAGAGACACTGTGGGTCATGCCATATTTGTTGACCAAATGCACTATATAAAGTGTGCGAACTTAGCTTCAAGTCGAATGCAGAACATTCCAACATCAAACATGTCTAGGAATGCAGAAAAGGATTTTGAAAAAAAAACCCTCAACATACCTCATTTCTAATAAAATGACAATAAAACGATGCAATAATTGCAGAGTGTATATAATCACAACAGAAGTGTTTGTGAGAGTTTTGATATGTCGAAACACAACGGTTAATGCAATTTACATATTAAAGCTGACACCAATTTATTCCTTGATGGTTTCTCTTCACAGGTGGTCTATTTTACTGCCACTTTCCCATACGTCGTGCTCGTCATCCTTCTCGTCCGGGGTCTAACTCTGCCAGGAGCTTCAGAGGGAATCCGTTTCTTTGTAACACCTGATCTCAGCAAGCTCAGTGATGCTGGGGTAAATTTTCAATACGTTTAAAGAACAAAAATGGATTGTATTTTATTGTATGATTGAGTTGTATTGTATGGTATTGTCTTAAATCGTATTGTTTTAATTGTTTGTAATTCACACAATTTGAACAATTAAACATGTCCGGGGATGCAGGAAAAGGTTCAAAAACTCGTGCATGACCGAATGTCTGATAAAAATTAAAATTAAATCGTTATGATTATTAGAGAACAAAGAATCACAAACGAAATTTGATAATGAAAAAATACAAGAATGATATAAGAAAAACAAGTAAAAATTATTAGGTTAGTTTATAATGGCGTCCTGTTTCAGCTCGGCAATGAGTCTGATATACTAATATTTAAGGAACAGATCTTGATTGATATGAATCAATTAAAGAGCAAAGACACAAATATTACTTTCACGCAAAATGAGTGTACAAACAACAGGAGAAAGGGAGTAAGAATGATTTATAACCTGTTCGTCCTTACACATCACTTTCACCCATTATCATTCATTTATGATGTCATGTTACTTAGGTGTGGCAAGATGCGGCCATCCAGATTTTCTATTCTCTCAGCGCCGCTGGAGGAGGACTCACTACACTCGCATCCTACAACAAATTCCACAACAATTGTTACGTGTAAGTGTTTCAAGCTCACATCTACATTGTTGCCATCGAAATCTGGAATAATATGTAATTCACATATATTTCTGATTTTAAAAAACATCGGTGAGATCGCGCACTTAGTGATTGACGAGAAATTATGAATTTTCGACAATAGAAAGAGGTTCAATCGCGCTGAGGGATATGAGGTGTAGCAGCAACCTGAATAACTGGCTGACAGTTTCGTTCATCAAATTGTAAATGAATCAAGCAATATGTTAAAGATGAATTCGTCTGAGAGAAAGGCATATAGGATATGGCCTTCTGTGTTCTATTTGAAAATCATAGCTCTTAGTTCTTTTGCCACCTTTTATACTTTTTGGCTATGTGGGCATTATCGCAGTGCAGAAATAAGCTCTATCGATAGATAATGAATTACATCCCATTCATGTTATATCCCCCATTTGGTTTATAACAGAGATTCGTTGTTTGTAGCCATCGCTAACTGCTGTACCAGCGTCTTCGCCGGGTTTGTCATCTTCTCCATCGTCGGATTCATGGCCCATGAACTCCAACAGCCCGTCGAAACCGTCGTATCAGAAGGTGTGTAATCTGACATAGTTGTTTTTACAGTCGAAGCAAAAGTAGTAAAGTAGAAGTAGTTTAATATGGGCGTGTTCATACAGAGTAGTTGTGGTAGATTAAAAGAAGAAGGTATGTGCATGAAGCTTCAGAGTCCGGGTAGTGTAATCATGCGCCAAACAATTGAGAAGAAGAAGAAGAAGGAGGAGGAGAAGAAGAAAAAAAGTTGTAGAAGTTCGTAGCAGAAGAAATAGTAGTAGTCGTACACAGTTAAAATTTTTGTGAACAAGTTGTTTAAAAGTTTAAACAACTCTTGATTAACGGGTGACCTGATCTAAGAGTTGTTTAAAATGTTAAGCAACTCGAGTTGTTTAAAGTTTAAACACTTAGTTGATCAACATTTTGAACAACTTGTTTAAAATCACAATTTAAACAACCGGTGTTGTTTAAAGACGGTTGTTTAAAACGGAGCTGTTGTTCAGTGGAGGTTGTTTACACCAACTGGGTTGTTTAAAGAAAGTTGTTTAAAAAGGAGCTGTTGTTCAGTGGGGGTTGTTTACACCAACTGGGTTGTTTAAAGAAAGTTGTTTAAAACGGAGCTGTTGTTCAGTGGGGGTTGTTTACACCAACTGGGTTGTTTAAAGAAAGTTGTTTAAAAAGAAGCTGTTGTTCAGTGGGGGTTGTTTACACCAACTGGGTTGCTTAAAGAAAGTTGTTTAAAATGGAGCTGTTGTTCAGTTGGGGTTGTTTAAACCAACTGGGTTGTTTAAAGAAAGTTGTTTAAAAAGGAGCTGTTGTTCAGTGGGGGTTGTTTACAACAAAAGGGTTGTATAATGGGGTATAATTTGGGTTTGATACTCTGAATAAGTGCACCACTACTTCTGGGTCTCTATATAGGTATATGAAGACTAGGGTAATTCTGCAATTCATGAATTAGCGCCAAAACATGAGCGCGCATGCACGCACGTATAAACTGCATAATAGGGATGCATGCAATCCCTATGGCAAGGAATTTAGCACACGTTATAACCGAGTGCGCGATCAGTGCCGCACTGCATGACGCGACGATTTTAAGTCTACCTGTATTCTGACATTTGCGTACAGATACCGAAAATTTTAACTGTGAACTTACGCTAAAAACTTCAAAGTAGTTAATAGAAAAGTGATTTCAATTAAGCCATTGAATCCCCAGTCACTTAGAAGCGCGTCGGTAGCTTGGTCGGCCATGATGTTGTGTTGTGGGTTGGAAAGTAATAACTATTAAGCTAAATAAATGTAAGTATAGAGACAAACAAAATGGAGCCTGCAGAAACACGTGTGGTTGCTTTGGTAGTTTAATCCAGACTCAATGTCCATGTGCTTTTACATATGTATCAATCTGTGTAGTCAGCAAAAGACCCTTGCATACACTTGCATTGTGTGTATGCATCTAATATGAATAACAATGAGCTGTGCCTTAACAGCTGCACTGCATTTCTAAGTGGCATGTCAATTTCAATTGCATGTTAGTTTCAAGGAACCTGTTTCTAAACATAACAATGTGAAATAAAGCCTTTAGCCAACACGCACTTAACTGGCACGAGACACATGACGTCATATGTAAACAACACTGTCTAAAAGCTCTCGTATAGTAAATATAGCAGTCATTAAATTTTAAACAACGAATGTTTAACAAAATTACTTCTGTTTCGAGCAACATTGTTTACAATTTGATCAACTGTTGTTTAAGATAGTGTACAACTGTAAGTGAACATCACTTTTTTAAACAGCGTTTTTACTGTGTAGTAGTAGTAGCATGTAGTAGAAGCAGCTAGTGTACAGCATGCAGCAGCAGTGGTAGTATATGAGCAAGTAGTATATGGTAGTAGTAGTTGGTGTTGTAATGGTGCTGATGTTGTGATCTACAGTGGATAAAATCAGCTGATTGGGAACGGGGTTCTAATCCCTGCTACATTCTAAGTCCTTTAGTCAGGCATTAATCTAAATTTGATACCCTCGACCCAGGTGAGGATATAATATGTACCGGTAGGAGGACATTTATTGAATGCTACAGCGTCTTATCTGAGCAGCGAGGCTATAAGTTGGGGGTAGTAAACGCGCCTAAGTGTACTTTAGCCTTTAGGGTTACCAAAGACACATGGCGCAATAGAAATAATTTATTACATTGGCAATATTAATGGTGCAGTAGCTACTACGATTAAAATAATGCTCACTGTATATCACAATTAACCATGTTTCTGCAGGTTTTGGTCTTGCCTTCGTCGCGTACCCGGCAGCGGTGGCCCGTATGCCCATCTCCCCACTCTGGTCTGTTCTCTTCTTTGGCATGTTGATAACACTCGGACTGGACAGTCAGGTAGAAATTGTAACTTTCGATTTAAACATATTGGCGTAGCCACAGGAGACACAGGGCACTTTCCTCATCCCTCTTATATGGTGAAAATAGAAAAATAGCAAACTAGAGAGAGAGAGAGAGAGAGAGAATGAGGGGGCGGGGTTGGGGGGGGGGGGAGATCATGAAAGCTTTTCGAAGAATTATTGTGATAGAGATGATGATCACGACGATGATGACGATGATGGATTCATTTCAGGTATCCGCCTCTGATGGACACTCTCTAAAATTATGTCTATCCATGCCAACGTTCATACAGTACAAACTCGATAAACATTTTACATTAGTCTCCCCGAACGTGATAGTCATTCTTACAGTGATGCATGGTGGTCATAGTGGTGGTGGTGGTGGTGGTGGTGGTGGTGGTGGTAGTGATGATAATAATGTAGAGGTATCGTCGTCGACTGGATACGTAACCGGACGGTGAATCACAAGGTTCGCTGGTCGAGTCCCGCCGCGGCACTAATGTCCTTTGGCAAGACATCGATCTACATTTGCCACACTAAACCCAGGTGATGTGAATGGTACCTGGCAGGAATTAATTGCTTGAAATGCTAGAGCGTCGTAATGGCAGTAATGCTAAGGCAAGAGTGATACTCGGAAGCTTCAGGGTGACAAGTCTGACAGATAATTATGAGCGCTATACAAAAACCCAATATTATTATTATTACGATGATGGTGTTGGTGATGATGTCGATGGTGGTGATGGTGATTAAGTTAGTGATGGTGATAATGATGATTATGGCAGTGAGGATTGTGTAAGTTTTGTAGGTGGTAATGATGTCAAAGATGGCGTCTCTACATATTTCTACATAAATATTCATTACCTCTCCTTCTTCCCCTCAGTTTGCCATCATGGAGAACCTTGTGACGATGATCTGTGATGAGTTCCCTCAAACCCTCCGTAAGAGGAAGAACAAGGTCATGTTGGTTGCCTGTGTTTCCATGTTCTTCCTTGGATTTACATGCATCACACATGTAAGTCAGTATTTCTATCGATATAACCATGGACCAATGGGCGTGTCATGAGGGGTATATTATGCACCCTCTCCTCATTGAGTAATTAAACGAAATCTCGCTGCGGCGATACTATTACATATTAGCCATTTCGAGTCGGCGTTAATGTTGGTGAGAAATTTGGACTTCGACGTTGTTATTTTTTCATATATAACTTATGATTTTAACCCAACACAAAGTTGCAATTTGATGGTGGGCTGGTACGATCAGAGTCGCTTATTAAGGCTGCAGAAAACGTTAGCGTTTTAGAGAATTGAGAGAGTTCACATATTATGTGAGGGCATATTACGACTGGACTCAACACGGGCTCTTCTCTGAATTTCGAAGATAAAGAAGAATTTAAAAAGCAAAGTATTATTACGAAGAGATAGAATAACAATAGCTGCAGAGGCAAAAGGAACATTTTGAAAAGGGCTATAAAGATCAATAACCTATATCATGAATGTTAGAAAGATTATAAATTAATAATTAAAAAAAAGTACTTACGCTATGCCATTCTTTCCTGATGTAGACCGGAGGTTACTGGGTAGCCCACCTGGACAGCTATGGTGCCTTCTTCAACTACCTGGTGTACGCTCTTCTCGAGTGCATCGCCATAGCTTGGTTCTACGGAATCAAACGCTTCACCAACGACATCCGAACAATCGTGGGCAACGGATGGGTCGACAACTTCACCTTTAACTGGTGGTCAGTCAACTGGAGTGCGTTCACACCAGGTCTGATGGTGGTAAGTGAATCAACGACGTAGTTTCCACCTACCCATCATTGAATGAAGTTGGTGCTGGCCGGTCCACTCGGTGGTTTATCAAGTGGACGGGTTAGCATTGATGAAGTTCAAGGTCAGGGGGTGTGTACTGGGTGTGTCCAACTACAGCCCAGCAATGATATCCGTCCATATAATTCGGCTGCACGTTATTTCAATAGTTACGATTGATGGTCAAATTGGCTGTTGGGTTAGGAATGAAAGGTAACAGTCTTCTGTCTGCATGCCATGATGTCTTCCACCTGTCTAATGGTCCATCAGCTCAGAAGAATAATTACGACTTTAAATAGGCATGTTCCCCGTATTCCAGAGGGCGTTCAAAATACGAACCCGCTGGCGGACGGTGCTAGCTGCCTATTGACACCAACAGAATACGGGTCTTACGCAGATGGCATGTTCCGAATGCCCGGACAATACCGATTATCGCATACATGTGCCGAAGTAATGCCAATCGCAGTTCGGCTCTAAGATTCGGCTGCTGTTTCCGCCCACTTCTTGACGTCGCGATCGTCAGCGATCAGCTGGCTTGGCGAAGGCAGGCCAGGCCGCACGTACTTTGATTGACAGCTGTATGCAAATTAGAAGTCGATCTTCGGAACCAAGATGGCGATGACTAGAGCAGCGATAACTACACTGGCGGGAACGTGCCACTTTAATAGATTTAAATGATTTAGATGATTTAGATTTAGTTGTTTAATGTGCAACATGTGCGGTGGGAAACCCATCTACAGCTAAATCTGATAACTAACATACGGTAATAACCTGTATAAAAATACTTGCCTTTATATATATATATATATATAGAAACAGGAAGAAACGAACACTGCAGACAGGTAGCGTTCTAGACAGTCTCTATGGCACATCTGTCTCCCTAAAGGAAGACAAACATGAACAATATAGGTGGTCAAAACAGACCGATGACCATTACAAGAGGCTGCCATTATGGCAGGATTGACGAAATCTCAAATGTACTGCATTGCGTTTTTCCCCCTTCTACATTCCCATACAGTTTGTCCTGTTCTTTAACTGGTTGCAATGGGTGGAGCCGAGCTACAACGGACCCTTCCCGACCTGGGCCGTCATCATCGGCTGGTTGATGACCACCATGTCGCTCATCTGGATCCCAGTCGTCATGATCTTCGAGTTCCTCAGGGCTGATGGAGATCTTGCTCAGGTAGGAAACTTCTTTTTTAACTTAGCCATGGAAAAAAACTAAGAGCAGCTATAAAAACAAGCAGGCAAACTTTCAGATGTTTGGGAGGCGCTATTAGATTTTTTTTCTTTTTTCCATCTTGATTACAATTATTCACGAGTTCTGCGAAGTTTATGGTGGTTTGATTGGTTGAAAATGTCTATTTTTTCTTCAATTTGAGTATCATCAGATCACAACAATACAGCAGGCCAAGCGGATGCATTATCTAGAATGTTAGTCTTTTATTTACCACAAGATGTTAAATATGCCGACAAAATTTCCTAAATGGAGCTGTCAAAACAAGTTGTCTTCTACATGTGCTGTATTCGAAAGAAAATTAAACCAAACTACTATAATTCGGTATAAAAATAACAACCCTCGCGCATAATCATGGATGAAATCAATGCAGTGAATATGTTCAATCGTTATATATATATGTATATTTTTTTTATTCCATCAGCGCTGGCGAGCGGTTTCCAACCCCACAGAAGAATGGGGGCCTGCCCTCCCCAAGTTCAGACTCGAGGCAGCCAAGGTGCATGAGGAATACGGAACCAACATGGGAGGCAGCTTGGCAGTCGATGGAAGCGGTCGTCGGGTTAACATCCAAGAATTAGAGATGGAAAAAAGTGCCTAGACGGTAAACAAGAGTGATTACAGTATGAGGATATGCACGTTCTGCTGATATGAACATTAAAGATCAAATTTGAAATTGATATTTCAAATGAGTTTGAAAATTCAAATTCAAATTAACAAAAAATCTAATTCAAATTCACATTCAAATTCATCTTCAACTTCAAATTCGAATTCAAATTCAAATATAAATCCAAATCCAAGGTACACGAGAAATTTGGAAGCAAAATTGGCGAAGTAGGGGGGGGGGGGGGCTTGAGTTTAACCGTCGATGGTGGCGATCGCCGGAAGAAAATAGGATACAATAATTATGAAGAAGGAGAAAAAAGGAAAGAACAGAGCAGGATATAATGATGGGGAAGAAAAAGAAGAAACACTGCAAAGAAAAATGAGAGAAAATGCGATGAGCGGACATCGGTTTGTAATAATCTTTATATATACGTTTATTGTTTGTTTGTTTATTTGAAGTAAGCATAATATTGTATAAGTGTATACCATTTAGCATTTCTGAAGAAATAAAAACGTCTTTCATGTAGAAGTAGAGGTAAGTAGTTGTAGTAGATGTATAGGTTTTGACTGGAGACAGTCAATGTATTCATTTTAAATATTATTTCGTTTCGATTTTAATGACGTCGTTATACCTATATATATATTATTCGTTTTCATTGTCTGTAGCGACATATTTGTTATAAACCATCTCGCAATGATCAATTGCACAGTAACAGAAGCCGTTTACATACTCTAGATCAATGAGGATAAGTACTCAGGTTGTTAAATTTTGCCGTATGTTAGAAACAAGCCACGAGAAAGGAGGTTGGTATTATTATTATAAAAAAAGGGGTGATATAGCTTTTGTCTGAAATCAGTTACTTCCCAGCTTACGAATTGTATTAATCTTTATCAACACTGAACCTTCCTTTTAAAAATGATATCGTATTTCAATGTCTTTCAAAATCAACTCTTTGTCGGGTTGGAAGGTGTGTGGTGAACTCGAATTGTCTTGTATATTTTTGTACACATGGTGTAGTAAAAAGGAAGTCTGAACTTGATATTTATCACCATTTATCATTTTATACTTGTTGTATTATCTGGAAATAAATGGGAGATTGGATAATTGACCTATTCCAAGTCTGATTATTCGTGTAAGGATATGAATCATTCTCTTGTTTAAAAATCAATAACGTGTTTTAATCGTCGCTACAATCCAGATACTATAGCAATAATAATCAAAGTAAATTTAATCGCTACTGCACTCGGTAAAAAAAAGAAAAGAAGGTGGGCACTATTTTATAGTTCAAAATTTTCACATAAACCGCCAATAAGATATATCAAATTGAAGGAAAAATTAAAGCTCTACATACATCAATTATGATCAAGATTTGAACTTTCACACTTGCCGGATGGGCAAATTCATTTTACCGTTAGCCTAAGGTCTGATTGAGAAAATTGCAAAAATAGAGCAAGTGTTGATTCAAATGTTTGTCTCAGGATTGCATGGTTTTGACAAGCACAGTCGATTCAACTCAATTGAAATCAATTTTCCACTTTCTGTTGTTGCTGAGAGTATTTCCCCGTTGGTCATTACACTAATCTGTTTTATAGGCAGAATTGTAACCAGACAGAATCTGATGACAATGCATTCGCTCAAAGATCGTGTGATTACTAACACGAAACCCATTGTACAACAATTCGTAAGTAACCGTAAATGTTTTTCATTTTTTTAATTTACCCCCCCCCCCCCCTGCCTTATATTCGAAATATTGACGACCACTGACTAAACAAAGCCTTTTTCGATGACAAATGACAAATTTCAGAGACAAATCTGCTGATCAAAGAGCAAATCAGAAGCAAGGATTTCAATAGTTCATAACAAAAACTGTCGTTTGTCACTGATGATTAGTTTTGTGAAATGGGGCCCAGACTATGGCAGTATTCTCCATTGCCATTATCAAACAGGACAAAGAGTCGAGCTTTGGCAGAATTAGGATTTCAGAATCAATCACAAAGACATTTTAAAGAAATGTCCTATTGTGCATATTATATGCCTAACATAAACTCTTGTGTGTACACAAAGTGCGGAAAAACGAGTCTAAATTAAATCTAATTTATTTGAAAACAGGTTTCCAGGTTCGTTGATAATTAGAAACATGTAAACAAGAAAAATAACACAAAGCACAAACTAATTCTCAAGAGTGCACTCATAAACCGAATCCACAAAACCTAGCCCCCCCCCCTCTCTCTCTCTCTCGTTTCATAAAAGCGTTGACGACCCAAAAATGTAACAATTATAATGTTATTACATTGTTGAGTCAAAGTTCAGTGTTTAGAAATCAATGCGATCGAAACGTTTTTGTTGTGATAATCTAAGAGAGAGAAAGAGAAAGAGAAAGAGAGAGAGAGAGAAAGAGAGAGAGAGAGAGAGAGAGAGAGAGGCGGCGCGTAGCCAGGGGGGCGGTGGGGGCGGTCCCCCCCAAAAAAAAACGCCGGCCGAAAAAAAAAGAGAGAAAAAAAGAAGAAAGGAAGAGGACGTAGGAAGAAAAAGGATTAAGAGTCGAGAACGGTACAACGAATCATCTTCTTTCTCTAATAATTTAATGAAACGTCTAAGCTTCCGCGTTTCGCGCGGGAGGGGACGGGGGAACTGAATTCAGATAAGGATTAAGAATCGAAAACGGTACAACAAATCGTTTTCTTTCTCTAATAATTTATGAAACGTCAAAGCTTGAGCGGGAGGGGAGGCAGGGGAACTTGATTCAAACAAAGATTAAGAGTCGAGGACCGTGACGGTACAGCGAATCGTCTTCTTTCTCTAATAAAACGTCAACAGAAACTGGATTTAGATAAGGATTAAGAGTCGAGAATGGTCCAACGAATCGTCTTCATGCTCTTATAATTTGATGAAACCTCAAAGCTTTCGCGCCCTCCCTGCACCCTCCCCCCTAGGGAGCGCGCTACGCGCGCTCTGTAAATGATTCGCACGCTTCGCGTGCTCACTATCGCCCCCCTAAAATGAAATCCTGGCTACGCGCTTGAGAGAGGGAGAGAGAGAGAGAGAGAGAGAGAGAGAGAGAGTAAGTGAGAGAGAGAGAGAGGGAGTCAGAGATATATGAAAAGCACTGAACTGTTTCTCACGGAATGTACTTTGAAAATGCTCTTTTGTCCAAAACCTGTTATCTGTTACAAAATTATTTTGCAGAATGTTAAGTTCTCTTTTCGCCACTTTTGTGGTTTGAAATACTTTTAAACCGCCAAATTAAACGGCCAAAACAGGAGCCTAATATGGTGATTATATGTTGCAATTTTGTAGCCCTTCAGAGTTGCGACCCATGGAAGAGTGCAAGACAGTGTTAAAAGTTGTGGTTGTATTGCCACTACACCACGGTCACAGTGAAGTCATATGCAACTATAATCGCAATGCATTTCGTCATCCTACAAGACAGTGTCCAGTTCCCCTTTTAATGCATGGAGTATGGAGCGGCAAATGTAGATTAAAGGTAATACAAAGTTTCGGGAAATTTTGAAATTGGATGGATAATGATTCTTTACGATTTTAATATAATTGGATACCCCTGTGGATGTATTATAAGCACTAGAAAATTTAGCCCCTAAAACACTTCTGCTTTCGAGAAAAATTGAATTTAAAAATTTACCGGTGCTCCCGGTAAATTTGGATACATTTCAAATAGCGCCTACGGTCATACAATGGTAGCTGCGACCATGAAAATTTCAGAATACGTAGTTGTGATACATATTTTCCAAAAGAGAATAGCCAATCGGTCTATTTTAGTCAAGAAGCATTGTTTTATAGCTTAATTGATATCTTGACCTGAAGAGGGAGCTAAACAACATAAAGAGTTTATTATTTACAATTTCATAACTTTAGACTCAATTTCAACCGCGACAGCGATCACTGAATATTGTAGGATCGCATTTGCTTCCAATATGTTAATTTGAACCAAATTCATGACCCCATACCAAAACTTTGTATAACCTTTAAGGTCTTGCCAAAGGAAATGAGTTGTGTGCCAAGGCTTGAACCAACGACCTTCCCATCTTTATTCCAGTGTTCAAATCACTCGACTGGGACATCTCTATATGCATACATGATCCTCTGGCTTCAGAATAACCCGACATCACTCAACACTCTATCTCTTCTCATTGTTCTATACACTTCATTCCTGCATTTAAAAAACACCCTCTACCGTGTAAGTCAAAAAAGGTTTAAACTCAGAAAATTGTAATTTATTCTAAAAGTCAGCTATGAACGAAAGGTTATCATACATGTTTTGAAAGAGTGTACTATCCCGAATCGTTTGGTATCATTTTTGTGTGGTATGTGTTCATGCTTGGATGAATCGGAGGCATTGTTTGCTTGCGCAAAAGTATCAAAGTGAGAGAATGAATTGAATGTATCAAATGAGATGTATTGCATTTGGTTTTTGCAGAAACAAAGTCCCTCACATGCGTACACACACACACGCACAAATGTTCTTTGATATTTGGTGGATGATTAATTTTGTTAGGGATGTTATTTGGATCTGCAAAGAACGAATTAATCACATGCATAACAAAAATCGACTTGCGCCAAAGTAATGCACGATAAATTACTTTGGCGCAAGTCGATTTTTGCACTCTCTTAAACAATGTCTTCTGTTCATCCAAGCGTGAACATATACCTCACACAAAATGATACCAAATGATTTGGGATATAATGATTTACTGTTCATAGATGATCTTAACAATAATTAGCAATTTTCTAGGTGTAGACTTTTTTTAAAACTCACATTAGGCGGTGTCACACAGAAAAATCCATTGAAAAATCCCTTGAAAAATCCTTTCAAGGGAGAATTTTCTTGCTTCGTTATAGGATTTTTAATGGGATAATGGATGACAGACAGCAATTAAGAGGATAACTAAAATCCGGTTTGTTGGCCTCTGTGTGACACCGCCTATTGTATATACAGATCCTAGACGTACCCTATATCGTCATCAAAATAATTATGACTCAACAATAAACTGGTTAGATCGCATTTTTTTTTTATTGAAGTGCACGGGTGAATATACATGTTTACAATAATCAACATTTGTGTCCCATATTGATCCAAATATACAAATATCTTTTCTCATAAATATTATCACTTCTCATATTTACTTTAATACAAAAGTCAGTACAGAAAATAGACATTCACTTGTATAATCCACACACTATTGATATACGAAGGAGCCATGTAAAAAAGAATATTCTGTATAAGAAAAATAAGTAAATAACCATAAAATTATTTCATAATACCATCCTAAACCATCGATATTCAAAAGGCCTTGGTTACATTTTAAAAGGATAAGGTACATGTATTTATAAATATACACCACTGATATACAAGGCAGCCGTGCAAAAATTCGTGTGCATGTTATTCACGTTAAACATAAGCATAATTACATTTTACAACGCTATTACAATTCATCGACATTAACAAGGCAGCAATTACATTAATTATTATACAGTACTGGAAAAGTACACATATTGCTGAGTTATTCAAGAGCAGGATATAGGTCAAAACCTTGACTTTGTCATGAAATGAACATCCAACAAAAGGGAACTAACTCCAGGACAATGAGACTCCCACTCGCTTTTTTCCCTCAGGCACATCAACTTCATTGTAGGTTCCCCTTCAAATTTACTGTCTATAAATATTTGCATTATATAAGTTGTGTTTACACGGTGGCTGTTATTTTCGATAGTAAGCTTGCTGTAGTCCCGTGTGAACCAATTGCGAGAATACACTATGAAATTTGACAGACAAAGAAAGCGGACAAAATATACAGTTCCTCAGGTACACAAAGGAACATCCCTTCACTGCTATTATGTAAAAATGTGTAGAACAGGTGTCACATGCATATTCACCTTTTTACATAATAGCAGTGAAGGGATGTTCCTTTGTCTACCTGAGGAACAGTATATTTTGTCCGCTTTCTTTATCTGTCATATTCATAGTGATAATACCCGTTGCACACGAAGCGGCATTTTACTGACGTAAGGCTGCGTCAGTATCTTTGACACACCATTTGTGCCAAAAAAAAGTTAACCAAATGAAATTGCAACGATTGCGTTAAATTACTGCAGCATGCAACAATTGCCTTCATGGATTCTGCTTCAATATTGCAGGTAATAAGGCATTCGAAATGACGCCTCGCGCGCAACGGGCTTTAAGTAATCCTAGAAGTTTCACTTTAAAATTGAGAGGAAAGAAAATTGTGTGAACACAATCCGCCAGTAAGGACCGTCACGATTAATACTGTAGTCAATAAGCTACTCAAGAGTATGGCCACTATGTAAACGCAACTATGCCGAAAAATAGGTACATCCTGATATTGATCTAATAATTATGAGTCAAGCAAACATATTTTGGAAAGACAATTGTAGCTCCATTCTCTCTCACATTTTGTGCTCGAAAACCCCGCTTCCCTAATAAATTACAATGCATTTTCAAGATGAAGGAAATTCTACAATAAAAGAAGAACGTTTTGAAAGTCAAAAGGACATGGGTTAAGTATGGCAGAATTTCTTAAATATTATTAAGTTTAAAAGAAAATCTGCTGCTAATCCTGCCCTTCTACACTGTTTCTCATGATGCTGGAACAATTTTTCCTTACCTCTTTTCATGAAATGATTGTGACAATATGATGTATTCTTGATCTAGATAAAGTTCATATCTTCTCAGAAATGTATTAATCGATCTAGAGAATGAAAAAGTTCTGCGAAAATATAAGTTTATCTATCAAGAATAAACCGTATTGTCACAATCATTTCATAAAACAGAGGTATTAAAAATTATTCCAACTTTATGGGCAACGGTGTTGAACAGAAAAGAGGCAAGTTATATAAGTGTTTTATAAGGGATATTTGTTTAAATCTTGTTATTGAAAATGCCGGGGAACTGAGAAAAATGTGAATTATGAAATTAATATGTACTTTTTAAAGGGTAGACCCAGTCATGCCATCAAGCTCGGATTATTTCTGTCACCTTGTTTGATGACACATTCATTTTTTTATAGCCAACTTTATTATTTATCTTTGACACGTACGTGTAGTAAATGTAAATGTAAACGTAAATGTAGAATGTAAAAATAATTTGTAAACATTGAAAAGAAAACTAAAAAAATTCAAATATTATTAATTGAATAGTAATTATAATATATAAGAAACTCTTTCATAAGATAATGATAATGATAATACAGCATTTATTATGCGCCATCAATCTAGTAAATTATTCTGAGGCACAGAGGGATAGAATTTGAATGAAATTTGAAAGGGAAAAAACAAGATAATGTCACATGTTCTCAAAGACTGTCAAAACATCTACAATTCTAATAGCTTAGGGCGCTACCTATTGAAAAGTGCGGACATCACATCAATATTAATTAAGCAATGCATTAGGGTATTAAAATTGCCCATGAGTTGAGTTCTTGACAGCGTTTGCGGTTGTGTTTTACACGATAATGCGAAATTCATGTAAATATCATAGCCTTTGTCTTCCCTTTTTCCCCGCATGCAAAAATACGACCGTCCGCCATCACGGAAGGACATCGCTCTCGGGTTCGTTCTCGAACACGGCATAGTGAAAGGTCCTTGGTGCTCCCCCATCGGGTTCTTCTTCGATTCGGCTCATGATGACGGGTTCGTGCGGACGTGCGTTCGGATCAACCTTTCCGCCCATGGTTGTACCTCGCTTCTCGTGGAGGTCCCACGATTTCAGCCGGTTTTCGGCGAGGAGAGGGCCCCAGGATATACTGGGTCTTGTAATCAGCTTCAACCGCTTCATAAATGATATTTAATAAAACAATGATAAAAGTGATAATCTTTCATGAATACGATCCACATCAATATGTAATACCACAATGCCCTCGGTATAAAACAACTTGCGGGAAACATTATACACCTATATTGCACGCTCCGGCGTTCTATATTACAAAATGTATGAACCGACATCTTAATAACTTGGAAGTGAATATATGTTCCATTGAAAAACGAAACGCATTAAATATTTGTTATATAAAATGTAGGGTATTTGTGATCCTTTGGAGACAGGCATTCCTGACTAGATTCAGGTTGCCTTTGCGTCAGATGTAATATGTTATTTGCCCGGTTGCAGCGGAGCTACCATTATAAACGCATTTCCTTTATTTTTTTTATGCCATAGTGGAAAATAAAAAAGTAGAATTGCCCCCTAGTAAGGATTGCTCTTCAAACGCCCTCATGTTCAAAATATGACCAAAAAAATCTTAGAAGTTTGGATCAAACTTCCCTACAATAAAGGTGTATTCCATAGCTTATTTCCATTTCTGTGCAAAGTGCATGTGATATTCAGGAACCTCGCATAAAATAATCAAAATCATAACAATTTAAGTGAAAATATTGTCTCACCAATTTAGAGCTTAAATGGACTTTTTTTGTTTGTTTGTTAACCGTAAATGACAATTTGATTCACTACACAGGTATATTATGTTGCTCAAACTATTACTTACAGAAAAAACATGTTTCATAATGATTTTCAATCATGCACTTGGTACACTGCAATAATGTTATAAGTGGTGCGGATGGAATGAGTAGATTGGTATTAAGCCTTGGGTTATGAATGATATTTCTTTCGCAAACATTTCAAGAAAAACCCTTATTCCAGTACAGGGGCGGATCCACGTAGCGATTTTTCCGGCCCGGCCCACCATCCAGCCCCCAAAACGATAAAAAAAATAGGATGATAACGTAAAGTTAACCTTTATAAAACAAAAAACAAAAGCGCCCCCCCCCCCCGCTTATTCGCCGGCCGGCTGAGACGGCACTAAATTTTGTATTAAGATTTGGCTACCCCTCCCCCTTTGACGCCGGCTGGATCCTCTGCAGGCGTGGATCCACGGGGGGGGGGGGGGGGGGGCTGACGGGTCAACAACAAAAAAAGAATTAAAAAACAAAATCTCACGAATTAGGTCCAAATTTTTTTTTATTGGTCTCACCCCCCCCCCCCCCCCCCCCGCTTATTCACCTGCTGACTGAGTCGGCGCAAAATATTTCCTGAAAAATTGGACCAAAAAAAGTGCCTCCTACCCCCCCCCCCCCCCCCTTATTCACCGACGGCTGAGTCGCAACTAATATTTTCTTCCCGCCGGCTGGATCCGCCACTGTTCCAGTACATCTATTTCGATTAACCAATTTTGTACTTCTGAAGAAATAAACGTTCAATTTTACAACCGAGACCATATAGCAGCAATCTTACTACCTGCAACTTACAGATGCACATTTGTACCCCTTTCGGTTCAATCCTGCACTCTTCTTGTCAGCGGTACAAATCTGCACCCTTTTCAAACTTACAGGTGCACATTTGTACCCCTACAGGTTCAATCCCGCACCCCTTAGTCAGAGTTTCAAATCTGCACCCTTTTCAATGGTGTTGTTTTTTGTACTGCTTGGGTGCAAATTTGAACCTTCAATTCTTAGTCCGTATCGATGATTTCAATAGAGATATAGCCTATCTGTTTCTGTTTCTGTATGCAACTTTTCTGCCTGTACGGGCAATTCTTGAAATGTTTGCGAACGCATTCTAAGGAGAAAATGCATTAACGAAAATGAAGTAACATTAAAAATGCATTACCGAAAATGAAGTAACATTAAACATGTGTTATGTAAATATCCAACATGCCAATGATTGGGATAAAAAGTATGAATTATATTGCGGTGAATGAAACAAGCAATTGTGTGGTTAAAGGGAAAACAAAACAAACAAACAAACAAACAATATATTTATGGCGTAAGGATGAGAGATTGATGGACGTGCATAATGATGACCAGGTTAATTAATTCTATACATGAGTTATTACGAAAAAGTTGTTTTGAGAAAACCAAACAAACAAACGGTGAGGACATGTTAGTGATTAAAAAGGGGAAAATTATGATAAGTACATATGAAACACGATGTCAAAGACTTGTAATCAACCCAGAGTAATTTCAATTAATATATTTTTGGAATGTACGACCAGTACCGTACCATATTGCACAAATAGAAATCCGAACATGATGATTTCTAAAGGGCATAAAAATATGCCACTTTCCTAATGCAATCAAATCTAATGCACGAATCTTTGTTAAGTACCTCGTTAATGATTATTTCAATAGTCAGAATGAGAATTGCTTATATTCCGTGTTGTTAGGTAGGACAAGCTATGTATGTCCTTCCTAGCAACAATCGATGTATGCAATTCGCATTGTGGCTATTCAAATACAATTATTTGTATCAGGTGAATGAAATAATTTGTAACATGGTACTTGTATCAAAGATTTATGCATTAAATTTGATTGCATTACGAAAATGGACTATTGTCCGTACGTTGATTTTTCGAAGTCTTTGCGATTCTGTTATAATGATTAATGGAAAGCAAAACATGCAAACATTCACTCTCACTTACTCAGTCAACCACTCATTCAGTCACCAACGTTATCCAGCAAAGGTACGGTAGTCATGGGAATAGGGTGGATGGGCGTGGCGGTGGCGGGCACGACATCGCCCCCCATTGTCGTCCCGTTCTGGTCGTGTACCTCCCACGATGCCAGCCGATGACCGGTCCATAATGGGCCCCAAGTGTTGTGGGGCTCGGAGATGAGTTTTAACCGCTGGAGATGGGAAAGGATGGGGAAGAGATTGGAGGATTTTTTTTTCTTCACCCATAGATTCAAATTCATCCAGACATCCATGCACATAAACCCATCAAATACACTCACCCACAACCATCACCGACCAAGTCCGTAGTCTTCTTGCATAAAGTTGAATGCAAGTTCAAAATAAAACGAACCATGATCGCCCATCCGACCAGGGCTACGTATTAAACACACAGCTTATTGATCGTACTTTCAATTGATCGTAAGTTGATTTGTAAATAGCAATTTGTCGCTAACATAATGATCAGAATAATGTATTCAAATAGAACGTGCTTTGGATCACAAACTTTTATACAAAAAAGGCCCCAGTAGTATAGTGTATAGGCTTCCGGAAAGATACAGACATTTTGAATATTGTATTCTCACCATCTAGTCCATTGACCATGATTTTAATTAATAGTTAGTACCACCCAACCAAATTATTAGAATATAGAAGTATGGACAGAAAGAGAGAGAGAGAGAGAGAGAGGGAGAGAGGGGAGAGAGAGAGAGAGAGAGAGGGAGAGAGGGGAGAGGAAGGGGTTGTTGTGGGACTTTTGAAATCGTAAACAGGGAAATAGCCTATCGAAAAATTGACCCAAAACACAAAATGTTTTTCGAAAATCCTTGTCGTGTCACGGTTAGTTAACACCAAGCTATACCCAAGTTACTGCCAAGTGAGAACACAACACTACATAAGTTTCTGCGCATGTTGAATGGCATGGAGGTTTCACGACACATGATCTGGTGATAACTTCTCCGCAGTCCATATCCTACCATTAAGTTGCCTTAACCATATTCCTAACTTTGACCCTGGACGAAACTCTGCACCTAACTCTAGCCCGTAACTAATACCAAATAACAAATACAACCCTGAACATATAAGGCTATTTATCTTTGACGGAATAAAGCAATTTTGTTGTGACCGGAACATTATTTTGATCACCGGCACCGGCATGGAAACCTTATCAAACACATATGTGACATTGCATAACTACTCTACATGACCTACTTGACAAAAAGAAGGTGAACAATTATGTCGTCCCAAATTTAGAATGACACAAGGTCAATTTTCATTGTCTTTTGTGAGCAGTAAATATCATTGTTGTATTACTGTTGGTATATAAATCAAATCAAATCAAAATTCGATTGTATCCTTGGCCTACGTCGAGGCTGCTCAAATATAAGCTGACACAGAACTTTCGGATATATTTCTTTAATACAGTATGGGCCAAGGAGAAGAACAGTTTGGGTAGCCAGCTTTTGGTGAATGTTAGTCCCACAGCCCGATAGAACTGTTCGATCCAGTATTTTATGTTGAATGAATGTATTGTATTTCCTCCAATGTGAAATTAATTTCCATTGGTTAGTATCCTACTAATACAGTTAGAACAGACCATAGATTTAAGATCAAGTTTAACACATCAGAAAACACTTGTAAATGAACAAATTTACTTTGTTAAACCTTATTTCTAACCAAAGGTTGAGTCCAGCGGCGGGTATTAACTAAGCATAATACCGACCTTCAAGTAAGAGAAGAGGAAATTGTTGGATATTTTGAAATAATCAATTAATCAGTTAATTCCCACAACCAAAGGAAAGACAGACATTTAACAATAAATTATTCGTCCCACAACCACATAAGACAGTGCATTTACATAGAGCAACATCTAAAGGAAATCTAATTTTGATTATGCAAATGATACAGGTATAATAAGAGTGTGTTTAGCTAAAACAACACAATCTTTTTCAACACATTATTCTTTTTTTTTAAAGAAACGTGATGCACAAAACGATCTATATATATTTTTTTTTTTACATAAACATACATATCTAGCAGTGAAGATAGATTATTCCATAGCCATCAACAAAAGCATCAATGTGAAATACACAAATTGTGTACAATTGTAAACCAAAAGACCACGAAAAACGAATAATCCAGACTTTACAAATTATTGAACTCGGATTGTACTGCCCCAGGGCCATTTCGCAAGGGTCACTTACAATAAATAAAAATAAGGCCGACTTTGGGGGTATGACTATTTATAGAGAATATTCTTATGACCTACTGTCGTGATCCTCTAGTTTGACTTATAAAGATACCGATATCCAACCACAGGCGCGTACGCAGGATTTTTTCAAGGGGGGGTTTTAACATTTATAAATCGGGCCGAAAATTTCGCAACGACTCAGCCAGCCGCTGAATAAGCGGGGGGGGGGGGGGGGGGGGGGGGTAAGAGGTCACTTTTTTTTTTTTTTTGGTCCCAAAAAAATCGCAACGACTCAGCCGACCGCTGAATAAGCGGGGGGGGGGGGGGGGGGGGGGGGGGGGGGGGGGGGGGGGGGGGGGGGGGGGGGGGGGTAAGAGGACACATTTTTTTTTTTTTTTTTGGTCTCGAAATTTGAAAATTTGACATTTTGCTCCGTTGGGGGGGGGGGGTAAGGTCAGCTTTTTTAGGTCAACCATGGGAATTTTTTTTTTTTTTTTTTTTTTAATTAAAAAAAAAAAAAAAAAAAAAAAAAAATCCAAAAGGGGGGTGTTTTAGAGAAATTTAGGGGGGGTTTACACGCAAAAAATTACCAAAGGGGGGGGGGGTTTAACCCCCCAAACACCCCCCCTGTGTACGCGCCTGTCCAACCATATGATCTAAAAACATAATTTTATACCCCAGTCAAGCAGCCGAACCGACCCCAAAGCGACCGATACCTTGGCCATTTTCGTCGGGCTTTTATCGGTCAGGTGACGGTCCGGTGCAGTGACTGAAGTATCATGGCTTTTGCACTTTTAAAACACCGAGTGCGACTCAAAATATTACAAGTACATCGGTGCTTACAAGCTCAACAAAACAAAATGGGGAAGAATCGCGGTGCTGGGTTTGACATTAATATCGAAATCAAACGATACCTACCTGTATTATGGACGAAGGTCTGATATCTTCCCACGTGATCAAGGTGGGCTTGCGCACAAAGTCGTAGACCCAGAAGGCGGGAAAGCAGAGCAACGCCGTCATCATCATGAGATAACCAATAGCAGTCGCCCATCCGGGAAACGCCATCCCATTATACGTCGGTGCTTCGTCGAAAGCCCAGTGGCATATAAGAACGATCTGAGCAGAAGTAAATTGGCACGCGGAGCGGTTACGATTCAGTACATTTTCAAGCAGTCACTTTTGGTTTAAAAAGAATACCTGGTTAAAACTTTCAAATCCGAATAAACAATTATTTTGCCCCAGCCTTTAAACTCTTGTAGCACCATTCAATTTTGAAAGACAAGGGTTTATCAATACCTTTTTCTTTCTAACTAATGTTGAAATAAAACAAATTGTGTATTAACCGCTAACTTGACAATGTAGGAACCCGTTTTGATGGTTAAGAAGAAGGATAAGTTTTCCGTCACATCCTAAATTATATTCGGCAATAAACTTTGGTCAGTGTGAATACAAACAAAAACATATAGGCCTATCGAGTAGTTTTGAGCACATACTCTTTAAAAAATTGATGAACTCAACTTTGTAGACCTGGGCCCCGTCCTATAAAGAGTTGCGATTGATCCAAATTAATCGCAAGCCCTCTAATCAATTGCAAGTTTGCAGTCTCCTATCTCTTATGTACATAGTTGTGATTAATATCAACTCGTTATAAGAAAAGGAAGAACAAGAACTAACCCAGCAAAGTTCGAATCTTTTCTTAGGGAGAAATGGAAAAAATAATTCTTAGTACAAGTTCATCAAAAATGAAATGCAGAATGAAATGCAGACGAAAGAAACACAAATATAAATACACAAAATAAAACAAGGAGACAGAAAAGGAAGCAAATATCACATTGCACAGTGCAGAGTAACGATTCGAAACGTAAATATGAATTTAAGTGAACGCACCCCTAACAGGAGCGGAGTGGCAACCAACCAGTTGCCCAGCCAGAACCAGAAATGCCAATGATCGACGATGCGAGTTCCGATCATAACCCGGATGTCATCTAGAAATCTCCGAAAACCGTAGATATAACTAATATTGCACGTGAGAAGAATGCCAGCGACCAAGGGAACAAAACTCACAGCGTAGTTATTATACAGCGCCATCCAGTAGCCGCCCGCCTACAAAACCGTTAGAGAATGAAAAGGAAATCATGAATACTTGATTACTGCACCTAATAATTACTTGTTTAAGCAGAATGCTAGTAATAAAATAACCATAGTGTAATAACGTGATATTCGAAATACTTCGGAGAGAATCCGTAAAAACATAGGCCCTTATTCATTCATGTATCTCATTCACAACAGCAAATGTTTTAATTCAGCTTGGCACAGTCAATAGAAGGATTTCAAAGTTTAAATAATTCAAGGGATAATCAGTCAACATTACAATTTTCAATTAATTTAATTATCAGTTATTCAATTAAATCATTTTTGCTTACTCTACAGAATAATTAAAGACGATGGACTATATGGAGAAACATATACCTCAATGAAGATATTGGATAATAAAGCACTTTTATTGGTGATGATATAATTTTTACAATTGTATCGGCAATGATAGGTATCCGACAGGTGTACTTACATTGGTCACTATGGGTAGGCCAAGTATGAACATGACAAAGCAAGCTATTCCAGTGACCAGTGTTCTTCGAGGTCGTAGAATATCAGGAAACTCGTCAATGAGTACGGTGACTATCACTTCCACACCAACGAACTGTCATAAATTATAACAATAATATAATATTCCGCTGTTATATATCGCTTAATGCATCAACAATGTCTCTAAGCACTTTACAGATATATTATTATCCCGGTCGGAATCAGGCTTGCCCGCACACAATGTATGCACATTCTCTACTCCCCGGGGAGCATTCCATCCAGGCCTCATTTTACAGACGCTTACAAAGCTGAGCAAAGTACATTAATTTCTCATCCTAGGACAGATTTGAAGATTTCAGTTCTGATATGCCCATTCAAGTTCATTTTCTACATTCCATTGAAAAGGTATAACAAAGAACAATAAAATATAACATAAAACTGGCATTAAGGAGCTATTTAGTATATTTAAAACTAATTGAATTGAATTGATATCTTTATTTATAAACGGTTAAAAAAAGCCCAAACAGTTACAAGATTCCATTGGGGCTTGTGAAACAATGTTAATACATCGAATTAACATAAAAATGACAATGGTACATGTACATCCAATGACATATTTAAAACAAAGAAGAAATAATAAAGATAAATATTTTTAAAAGAACATCACAACAATTGGAATAAACGTTTATAAAGAAGAAATACAAAGACACACTCCTGTAGACGGGAATAATGTTTGGGGTGACACAAAATAAGATATGATAATAAATTAAAACGCTGACCTATGCTCCGGCGGTCAGCCAATCAAATGCCACGATTTCCGTAGCTTATAACAGTTCTTGTAACTTGTTATTTTAACAAATTTTATAAAACGGGGCCTGACCGACAAACATCGGTGGTCATTGCTGACTCAATGAAGGACCAACAAATGGAATTTCAAGTCTAATCATCTACTCCGCCCACAAACACTTAAATCAAGCTCTGCATTGAACTGAAACCATGGTATGTATGTCAATCCTTCGACCGGAAGATGGTGGTCCTTTCGGCAGAAAACGGGTAATTCAGTAGAACCTGACGACTATTTTATCTATACTTAATGGGCATATAAGGTGGCAAATTTGACATTCAATCCGTGTTTGATTAAAAGCTATACCAAACAAGCTACGAAACGATAATACAATTTGAGGTGATTAAAGATGCCAAAATATAGGTACCAAAAGCGAAAATGACATTAAATCCATGTTTACTTTTGAAATCAAATTAATATAAACTAAAAGACAGAAATGATGATTACCTGGCTATCGACAGCTAGAAGTATGAGCATAAAGAAGAACATAAGAGACCAGAATGGAGCACCAGGAAACTTCGCTAAGGCCTCTGGACATGCTACAAACACTAACCCAAAACCTGAAAGATCTAAAGAGCAACAGGACAGAAATATATTATTCAACTTCTAGTCACGTCCGTACTTGTCGGCTCCAATAGATGCCACAGAAAAATTTGAACGTAGAAAGGCAAAAAAGAAAACTAATCTAGATCTACTATACAGATTATTATTAACATACATTGTAAAATTCGGAGGAACATCAAAACATTCAAATGAATGAGCAATCAGATCATGGTATACACCTAATACAAGGAGTGCCTCTAAGTTTCACCCGTGGAAAGTATCTTCCAGCACTGTTGCAATTTCTTTACGCCATAATGACTCCAAAGTTTGGAACATATTACCACATTCTTTCCAATCTATTCAGTTTACCAAAACATTTAAACGTAAACTTAAGCAGCACTTCTTGTCTTTATATAGTTATTCTTAAATGATATATTGTAAACGTTGTTTTAATCCCTTTACTCTTTTCCAGCTGACTGAGCTTTTTATTGTTAAATTATATTCTGACGCGCTCAGGCCGGTGTGGCTTTTACGGATGCACCTTTTTTTCATCCTATACTCTTAGTAGATTTAATCATGTCTTCTTTTTCTTGTTCTTATTTTCCTTTTTTTAATTTAATTTTTTGTTTATATAAATGTATATATATTTCAAGGTATTTTTCTTTGCCTATGTATGTATAACAACAATTTATAATGTCATTTTTACTGTGATTGGAAACAAATAAAGTTCAATTCAATTCAACCTCTGAAGGAATTGGCTATATCAGACAATATTATATAAACGGTTTTCTGTTTCTATAATTAGTTATTACCTCCTGAACAACCTGATCATGTTCGACACATCTTATTGTTTGGCGTCAGCTGAGCCTGGGAGGCGAAAAGCAAACTAATCACTGTAACCCTCGGGTTTCTCCTCCCGGTATAACACCGGGGTTTCCCCCTACTCTTAAGCGAATAGTGCAGTGGGTTTAACGTATATATTTTACCATCGTGTGCGAAGTCTTTGACGGACTTGTTGAGTTTGTGGGCCATGTAGCCTACTATGGAAAAGATCATGAACCCTGAGATAAAACTCGTCAAACAGTTAACCACTGCCACGAAGACCGAGTTTCTGTTTAAATATAAAAAAGATGGAGGTAAACAAAAAAGAGTGATAAATAGGGAGGATCAGTAGAGAGAGGGAGAGGTAAAGATAAATAGAGGGGAATGGGAGGGAGAGAGATAGAGATAGAGATAGAGAGAGAGAGAGAGAGAGATAGAGAGGTGGAATATTTTGGGATTGAGAATTAACACAATGGGGTCCTTGGACAACTAAATTATTATGATCAAGGAGAGGATAATGAAAGATTGAACCGAATAGCTAGAACCCCTCCAATTTGAAATGTTAAATTTATTTGTTATCATTCTGAATATTCCTTCCTCTTTTAAAAACCTCCTTTCGTTTTCAAAGTCGCTAAACACTGACTTAAATGGAGAAAGAATCGTCCTTGTTATTCTCGTTTGTTCAGGACTAAGTACATTTATAAGTCACAGTATGAAATGTACGGTTGCGGCGACTTAGAGACCATTTTAAAGGGTGCAGAATAGAGTTGTACACACAGAGTATTATATTGTTTTAATGCCGGTGACTATAAATCTCCGCATGTGTACTCACCTGTAACAATTACTATGAAACTTATTGTACGATGCCAAGGTCAGGAGCCCGCCCCCACCGGCACCAAGTGAGAAAAAGATCTGCACTGCAGCGTCTCGCCAAATCTAGCAGGTTTTCAAGACAGAATCAGACGAGTATTATTCCCGGAAGAAGTACAATATCGCAGCTGGAGTTCTACGCAAAATAGTGGTTTTAAAAGAAATTGTCTTCCCTAATACACTGTATATCTCTTCCAAAAGATGCTAAGGGGGAACCCTGAAAACACCATTGATAATTTCAAGCAAACGTGAACTATCTAGTCTGTTAGAAGAGAATGTTATTTCTTTAGCTTCTTTCGTATTTACGTCGCCTTGTTAGATACTTTGGCCGGTTCGGATAGAGCCATTTCGGCGCTGTGGCCGAGATAATGCATTATTATTTTGAGCATGGGACGGCTAAGAGCGCAATATAAATGTCGATGTACATATACTCCTCTTTTTTCTCCTTCTTCTACTTCTTGTTGTTCTTCTTCTCGTTATTATTATCATCAACATCATCATCATCATTTTTATTAGCAGTTTTAGCACTGATAACAATTACATAATCATCGATGACGATGAAATTTTAAAATAATACATGACGTACCACAGCATGTTTGAGGCGTTCCCATTCGGGGTATATATAGTATCTCACACCCTCTTCGTGTCCCTCCAGTGTTGCGGCTCGGATGAGAAGGATGAATATAACCACGAATGGAAACGTGGCGGTGAAGTATACCACCTGCCGACCAAAAGATGGAATATACATAATCGTTTTCTCAGCTTCGACACCAGGCTATTCACTCTTTAAAAGGGGACTTACAATGTTGTTTTTGTAATTAAAATGGAGAAGGAGATAAATGGATTAAAGTGACAAAGTAAATCCGCTAATTAAAGGAAGAATAATTCAGTTTTTAATATATTTTTCCTTCACATAAAGTCTTTATTCTTACTTTTCGTAAAGCATAACACAGTATAAGCAATTGTAAACAATGATGGATACATACATTTGACAAAGAAAGGTACAAAGAAAAACAAGGTTCTAGTATTAAGATTAGTTGGAGTGCGTCTATCTATCAAGAAATAAAATATATACCTATATTGTTGCGTATAGATGGTTTGTTTGTTGTTTCGTTTCGAGAGTTGTAATTGACCAGAAGCAATTTGGCACCCGCACGACATACCTTTTGAGGACTTCTTCCATGTGCTCCGTACTGAGAATTCATGCATTTGTATTTTCCCTCAAGAATAATATTTGTACAAGCACTGCAATCCTCGATATGGTTGTTGCTTATACTGATTAACGCAAACCCTTTATAAAACCGATCTAATCCAACATCAACAAATAAGAAAAAAGTAGCGCATCCCGGTATTCAACCAACATCATTTTCCTTGACAATACCATCACCACCGCCATCATCACTTCCTCGTCCTTCCCATCCCATTCCATCATTTCCGATCGCAATTCAGACACAGTCAATTCAACAACCAATACTAAATGATAACGGGTAATAGCATAGCAACAACTTACAATTCATGAACTTGGATAAAGGTTCACGTCGTTCATGAGGGACAGGAATATTATTAAATAACGTTTTCCTCGACCCGAACCAAATACTCTTGGGATTGGATTGGTATTTAAGCTCTTTCTAATTTCTCTCATTTTAATTACATTTCTCATCCTGATTTTACAGTATGCAGTTCTCTAATTGGAAATGCACATACCAATCCATTATCATTATCATCATCAGCAGCAGCAAACCACCACCACCATCACCATCAACTTCATCATCATCATCACCATCATCATTAGCATCACCATCATCATCATCATCACCAACATAACTTTCCATGTCCTTTCCGCCTTTTCCAATTTCCAACCTTCAATTAAACACAGCACAGATCTTAACAATCACTAACATTAATTACTCCTAAATAGCTAGGAGACAAAATGCAATTCATGGTCCCTAGAGAAGAGGTTTGGTCCCCTACCTTGCCGGCGGACTTGACACCTTTGATGAGGCAGAGGAATATCAGCACCCATGCGAGCAGGAGACATAGAGTGAGCTTCCATACTAGCGTCCCGGTCTCGTTCATACTCGACGATTCTTGCAGTACTTCATTCCTAGTGCACAAGCAAGAAGGCAATGGGAACGGGTTTTTAGAAAGGTTCGCTTATTTTATTAAACAAAGCATCGAACAACGAATGACGGTGGTGACCGGTTTTTCGATTAAATCGACGTCCCCGTTCCTACTAACAATTCTTGGGACGTATCTGTAGTGTTACAACATTAACATACTGAAATAATAAAGAACAGTTTCTCAAAAATGCCCACATCATATCGCTTAATTTCTAAAACAAAATTTATAAGAAAAAACATGGATCGGATTATCATATCATGGTAGGGAAAGAAGAGGAAGTATGAAGACTATTATGCTATGGTAACAGACAGTGGGCGCACTATGGACAGGTGATGAAATTTCGTATACTAAGCACTTACAACAAAGTCGAGGGCAAATATTAGGGCTGAATCATATCAGGACCCATGCAGCATGTGAATGTGCAATAAAAAGTGTATTAGCAGTTAGGCTATGTTTTTTTTTAATAATGGGAACGGGAAAAGATGATCAAGATGAGCGATAGAGACAAGAAATATTGGATACCGAATTGAGTTGTATATGTATTTTTAAATTGAAAATCACTTACTTCCAGTACTCTTGGCTAGGCAGAGCTCTAACGTGTATAAAGGGGTCTCGATAAAGACTAGTATTGTATGTGCCATTCCTCGGTATAATTGTAACGTTGTAATATGTGAGTTCGTCTTGATTCAAGTCGTCCAGTCTCGTACAATTTTTATCGTCCGTCACGATTCCACCGTCCTCTATACATTCTTCGTATATCTCGCTGCATAGACGCGTGTTCCAGGAGTTCGAACAGCCGATCCAAGGTAAACGACTGGTGAAGGAGGCAAAAAAGAAGTAGAGGCAGTAGGCAAGCACCACGTTGTAGAAAATGGATACGTAGACAGACATGAAGAGCTGGCCGTAGCCAAGACCTGGAGAGAATTCGGAAAGATCAGTCGATTTGGATTTAGTGGAAAGTTCTTAGTTGCCCATACAATAAAAGGAGTTACTTGGTTTTTTGAATAGGTCAGCATAATGCAATGATTATAGTTTTTATACATAACATAGTATTTTATCTAACCTCTGACCTTTCACGTATTTACGAATTTACTAATCTAATCTATCAACCACTTTACGCATTTCCAACACAATTATAATGGAAACACCTAGACAAACACATGTGATCCCAATATTATAAAGGGTAACATCATAATCTATCTTACCCCTGTAATTTATGACTGTGTCTATCCGCTTCATACACATTTTCAACACAATCGTTACGTAAAGAAAACAAGAAGCCTTAGGATTCTCCATACTGATTTCAAACATCGCTTCATATTTTACCCCTCATTTTGTTTACCTCTCACGTATTTACGAGTCTCATCTAGCAACCAACTCATGTACCTCCAACACGATCAAAAGTATTATAAAAAAGTCTATAGGGCATACATTATGAGCAACAAGATTATGAAGACTCTGGAGATCGTCTCAAGGACAATGTCTATACCCTTTATCATACACAGATTATGAACGGATTACGTAATAAGTCAATGTAAAGTTCGCACATTAAACTGGCGATGGACGTGGCTATTGGAAATATGTTAGGTTGGTGTTTTGATAGTCTTTGCGATCATGTTAAGCGGGAAATCCCCATATTAAAAATGACATCAATCTTATAGTTCAGACACACCTGACAGACTGACTGCAAGATGACCCATTCTAGGACAATCAGGGTAGTGTAATACTGTTTGGTCTGTTGTTAGTTAAGTGTCGGTCTCCTCATGGGTATTATTAACCCTGAACCTTTCAGCTATTTATCACTCCCTCTATAGGTAGGCCCCGACGATACATCTCCAACAACAATGGGGAAATCCCCCCAAAACGAAACAAAAGGGAATTCGCCATTTCCTCATTAATACGACATCATTTCGCTCTGTCTCACCTCTCATTGGCGGTACAGCTCGCCAGACTTTGATCAGACCGCTGCTGCAGTACTGGCCCAGGGCCACCTCCATGAAATACAGCGGCAACCCAGCAAACAACAGCATAAGTGTGTACGGTAATAGAAAAGCACCTGCAATTTAAAGAGAATAGTTATTTCTGGTAAGGGTAACAAAGTAGTTTGTGAGCAGCTTTCGCATTTTTGGAAATTATTCCTACGTAGAAGAACATCGTAGCAGTAGTATCACATGGAAACGATTGCTCTTGTAATGTCCTTACTTACACCGTAGCCATACGACTGTATACATGACCATATCTTGCTTTAGCAAGATTTCTGTCAAACTGTCATAATTTTGATGATTTTAAAATCTTAAAATTTACAGTTATTCTAATCGACCATTCCAGATAGACCTATCTTCTACACGGTCTCTTACACGGTGCAATGTCACAACCAACCTTACCTTCAATTAGCCAAGGTTAGCTACAGACAGTAAAAAAAAAATGCTCATTTGAAAGGGACAAGCAATACTATATTGGTCTATATGACTATTACTATTCCTGGAAGGGTAAGTTCCTCTTTCTCTACGTTTCACCCTTTTTACTTTCCCTGTAACATTAAAAAATGTTCACACTGATGTGGAACTTGAATTGCTAACGGAGGACATCCGAAGTCCTCCAAAAACGATGGTCTCAAGATCCAAGATTCATTAAAATACATCTTATAGCAGAATATATGAATTGCGTTAGATTCCAGATTAAAAGAAAGATATATCATTATGCATCTTTCATTTAATTTGGGAAACTAACGCGATATATATATAAACAATAATATGGATGTACTCTTAAACCCTCAAGGGAATTTGCAGTGTTTTACAAAAGTTCACTGACCTCCACCATTTTGGTAACACAGGTACGGGAACCGCCACACGTTCCCGAGGCCGATGGCTAATCCCATGCTGGAGAGAACGTAGTCCAACTCGCTTCCCCATGTCTCCCGAGCGTTCGGCGTCTTCACGTGAACGGCGTCCTGTAGGACGATGATGATGGAAAATTAAAATGATTACCATGGCAATGATATAATAGACCCGTTGACTAATTTCATGCATGATTAATAATAATATTACTACTAATGATAATAAATGATGATGATATTAATAAGAATAGTTATTGCAGGCCTTTGCGGCCATGTCTGTCAGGCTGTTCACTCCTGGCGCTCCACAATTATTATTACCCAACTATTACTTCTTGAACAGGAGTTTCTCTCAACAAATACAAAGATTCTCAGGAGCTTTATTGACATAGCAACACTGATGCATGCACAGTTGATTCCATCCGTAGATGTGCTTATTTCAGGTGAATACAAATTAAGGCGAAACTAGGTTTTTTTTATATTGATATGAAATACATTGGTAAATATAGTCATAATTTCAACAATCTGAAATATAATATGCCCATAGCGTGTGTGATATATACAGGACAGATGCCACAGGGGTGCAGACTTCTTTCCAAACACCCCCCTAAAGACAACTGCGGCGGGGGGGGGGGGGGGAACTAATGAGATTTTGGAGACATGTAACAGTTCCTGTAGCTGGATTCTGAATTGAAAGATATTGGAGATTTGGCTTGAGAGTGGCTCTCGACAATTACGGATTGGCATAAAAGGAAGAATATTTGTTTACATGGCAAAATAACTCCGTCGTGTCTGTCTGGATGTCACACTAACCCTGTAGCTGACAATTTGTGGGCTAAAAGATCAGAGAGTATTCTATACCAGCACATTTTATTTTTTACAAGGCAACATAAAGATTCTTTTTTTTTTTCTGCTCTGGGTAGAAACACCTGGGATGGAGGCTAATGACTATCATTAGTTCACCACTCGAATGATCAAGTATCATTTTTACAAAAGTACATTTGAAAATATTGAGAAAATGGTAATTGCAAGGACAAAATGGACGAGGATTGAGGACATTTTTTATTCCCCCTCCCCACTGTTTAAAAAAAAGAATCCACGTTTAATGAAAAGAGACCCCGGAAACTGTTCTATCGAGTGTCAATCACCCCATTCCTACTCAGAAAATGTAATCCTTTCCTTTAGTGCAAGAGCCACCCCCTCCCCCCCCCACCCCCCCCCCCAAAAAAAAAAGAAGAAGAAAAAAAGAAGAAGATATAATTAATAAATGAATACAAAATAGTAAACAAATACAATTTTAAAAAGGAATAATAAATGTTTTGATAATGCCACACACCAATGTCGATTCCTTCTTCATAAAAGAAAATGTTAAATGTCCCATCCTCCTAAATAAGGGAGAAAAGACGGGGGGGGGGGGGGGGGGACGTAGTATCGACTCTATTTAATGATGCTTTTGAGGAGAACCAATCTTCGCTCTTTGCCTGTTTCCCATTCCCTACACCAATCGCTCTTCAATACCATATGTCGGGAAACCGATTAAATTGCGTCCATATCCTTTGAATTGATAAAAACAATCAATTTAATAATACCGGTTGGATGTTTTTTTCTGCGGGCAAATAATACTGACTTTTATAACTCACAATGGCATAAAGTTGTGTATACCTACAATTACGTATCTGAGTGATACGTGCATGTACTTATACTGCAGATATTTATAGCAGTGGTAGTAGTAATAGTAGAAGTCGTGCTAGTAGGCCTACTACTACTACTACTACTACTACTACTATACTACTACTAGTAGTAGTAGTAGTTGTAGTAGTATAGTAGTAGTAGGAGAAGAAGTACTAGTTGTAGTAGTTGTACTAGTAGTAGTAAAATAAGTAGTATACATTGTAAACTGTTGTTATATTGTTATAATCTAATACTGATCTCCAATGAATTCATGATGCTAAATAAATAATTATGATGATAATATAATCATAGAATGATAATAATACAAATAATAATAATTTGTCATTGTAATAATTTGGTAGGAAATCGGAATCTATTAAAGTAGATGAATACATATACAGTCGGGTAACAAATCACACTATTTTAATGAAATATTAAACCCTGACACTTTATTTGTCTACGCGAAACAGAAGATCTCAGTAAGTCCTCGATTCTTGAGTAAATATTATTCGCATTTCTAATTGAGGAATACTACTCTAGTCTCTACACAATGAATATATGCACAAGCAGCACAGCAGCAATCAACCGTGCATCGAATTCTGCGTGAATTACGTATATATCATCGTGTCAGATTTGACAGTTCGCGGAAGTACATACAGTATATAATTAACATGTGTATTAGAATTGTACATTTACACAATTTTTCCTTATTTATTAAGTAACTACCATAAAAAAAACACTTAGCTATCAGAGATAGGCCTATTATCAATATCTAAATTATGATAAGAGAGACAGACAGTATCACTTAACATGTTCATTGCAACACCCCCCCCCCCCAGCAGCCTCTACCAGCTCAGTTACGAACATATCATATGATATTTTAATCACATCAAGGAGCTAGTAACTCCTTAATCACATTCGACATAATCGGGTATAAATCATTATCACCTCACGCTCAGCTCAATAAGCCTCGGCGTAATAAAGCTCTTACCGCAATAACATGAGAAGTAGAACGGGAGAGTGCAGGGGGGTTGCTCGTTGTTGTGGTGATGGTAGCGCCTTGCTCCCCAGGTCCAGCAGGCGACGCCGCCGCCGAGTCGTCCGCTGCAGATGACATGTTCAACGGTCAACGGATCGCAGAGTCTACGTAGTAAAGTGGTGTTTATTACCACGGAAAACTAGATGGATAAACGATTCAGCCCACAATATGCATGCAGTTCGCTATTCACATCTAGAACCTACGCGAGTCAATACCATTTTGTACAATGCTGTACTACGAGAACCATAAGAACCACCATGTATTCAACGTGCAGAAACCCCCGACATTTTAAACCGTATATTATACATGTAATTTCCGCCTGTATTTCCGCCTGTGCCGATGCAGTGCAGTGCAGTTCGGGCGAGACTATTCACCGACTCCGGTGTATATGGGTTTGAATAGCCGTTGTAAACAGCTAGATGCCCACTCATGCATAGACGTATAGGATTCACCCTGACCTCATCGCTCAAGAAGCTGGATGGCCCAGTGAAATGGATTGCATCGACGATTGATACATTGTTGACAAGTGGATGGTACAGTACAATGGATAATTATCTTTCAAGATGTCATTGTTGCAGGTTGCATTGTTGTTACGTGCGGCATAAATTGCACTGTGTTGGATGTGTCAGCTTATAGCATGTTAGGCGAGGGAATGAAATGTCATAAAAGATTTTTAAATGCGAAAGAATCAAAAAAGCAAATATACGCAATAACCTGCATGTAGTGCAAGAAAGGAAAGAGATAGAGAGGAAGAGGAGAAAGAGAGGGGGTGGCTGAAAAATAATTAGAGGGGGAAAGGAAGAGAGAGTTAGAGAATGGGGGAGACAGGACTCAATTATGAGTGGAAGAGGAAGAGCAATATTCAGTGATTATGATGACAGTTGATGTGGGGGTATTACGCTGAGATACCACGCAAGGTCAAGACAGGAGATGAACAACCAGTTAATCAGCCTTATCGTTTGACCCGGCCAACCCCTCCCCCCCCCCCCACTATGCAAAATCTGTTAGATCAGGTATGTGTGTGTAAAAAAAAATTATTTTTATAGAAGTGTATCAATCAGATATTATTAGTTATGTCCGAAAGACGATGTTATATAGATCAGGGCATATAGTACTCAGTATAAAGTATAGATCAGGCCTTCTCAACTGGCGGCGCAAAAGAATATTTAGTAGACCATCTCGCCCAACTGCAATATCTTGTATAAAGATGTATAAAGAGGAACAAATATTGAAAAAATTCTTGATAATGTAGGGGTATTCCAATGTCTAAAAAAATTGTATATTTTCGCTTTGAGATTTCCCTTTGTAGGTGCCCTTTTTCCCCAAAAGTGCCCTCTTTTGTTGGTCCCCCCCTACTTTGGCAGTCGCCCCGCCGCCCCTACTGCCAATAGATAGATTCTATCACGTTTGATATTCATTGCCTGGAATTGAATGAACCAGAATGACTTTGAACTGAATACACTTGAACCTGTGTCCTTATTTGTTGGATTTACTACTGTAACAGTATTCTCATTCTTAGTTTTATTTTTATCATTACTATTATCCTCATATATTATTATTATTATTATTATTATTATTATTATTATTATTATTATTATTATTATTATTATTATTATTATCTCTCTCTCTCTCTCTCTCTCTCTTCCTTCACTCAGTCGCTCGTCAATAATCACATACATATTTATTTCTACCAAACACTAACTAAAAGCAGGACACGAACAACATCAAAATGCACGTCATTTCTTAGTTTTTAAAAAGCTGACAGTTTAATAAATCCATATAAGCATATTATAATGGTCCTAGTAAGTGCAACGTTGCAATATTCAAGTATTAAGTTTATGACTGTGACAAACATAGCAAGTATATGAAACATTCTTCCATCAGGATCATTATTTTCTACAATAGCCTACTGAATATTATTACTTTTATTTTCTGGACACATAATCAAGCAACAGTCTACCTGACTAACTTCCTTATCTATCAATATATTATTACAGCAACAAAAGAATAATTAAATAGAGGTACAAGGCAGGCGCGGAGCCAGGATTTCTTAGGGGAGGGGCCCAAAAATTTGCACCCCCCCCTTGAGCGCCAGAGGGGGAGGCCCAACCCCCCAAAAAAGTAAAAATCACGTGTTTGTACATGATTTTTTTTCTAAAGGGGGGGGGGGGCCAACTATTTTTTTTTTGCTCCCGAAAATTCGGCGAAAAGTCGCTCAGTGGGGGGGGGGGGGGGTGGGGTAGTGAGCACATTTTTTTTTTGGTCCTCGAAAATTTAAAAATGTGCACCCCCCCCCCCTAGAGCGCCAGAGGGGGAGGCCCAACCCCCCTAACAAGGTAAAAATCAAGTGTTTTTACATGATTTTTTTTCTACAGGGGGGCGGGCCCCCGGGCCCTCCCCCTGGATCCGCCACTGGTACAAGGCATTCAGACCATCATCCATCAGAATCAATTGCTCACGTGATACAAGCCCCGTGGTCCCTATAAGCCATTAATTGGCTGCTTAGATCGATTTTCATTTAATCAGGGTGACTAGAAAAGCATGAACGGGAGTCACGACCCATAACCGAGCAATGGCCGGTGTGTAAATCCTGTACATTCCTTCGATCAAATTACACAATAACTCCACATTTTTTTACAAGTCTCGTGAACATGACGTCATATTAGGATTCTTTGAAAGAAATAGGTCGACTTTCCTTTAATATATTTCAAAAATATACCACCTCCCTACCATTGGACATGTTGAAAAATAAATATTGCGATTAAGTTTATTTATGGACATCCCACGTTTCTCGAATTGAAACAAGTGACTTTGAAATCATTTTAAAGTAAATTGCAACACAAACAATAAATTTCTATCAACAATGTAACTCTCTGAATTCTTACAACATAATGTAACTAACAGTGAAATGTATACTTGTTCGTTCGATTGATTTTCTATTTATACTCCTACAATAGGTCAGCAAATAATATATTAAGATGATTATGTGTTCTAGAAAATTGCACTGGTTAGAAAAACAAACAGAGTGTCATGGTCAACATGACAAATGACATAATAGATAAAAACCAAATGTTATTACAATCATAATTAAATAAATTAATTAAATGCACCGCATCATTAAAATATACATCACATAAATATCGCAAGTCTCTGAAATAGAAGATACCCGCTTCATGTTCGTGTCTTTGAAGCCCAGTGAAAACAGAGGCGGATCCAGGGTTCTCTTTAAGGTGGGGGGGGGGGGGGGGGGTGTGCTCCCGGAAAAAAAAGCAGAGCTCTCACATTATTCGCGTTAAGACCAGGCGCGTAGCCAGAGTTTGATGTTGGGGGGGGGGGGGGGCACATACATGTAATCGATCGAGGTAAAAAAATAGGGGTCTACAAAATTTCAACCGATCCTGGAAAATTTAGGGGGCACGTGCCCCCCCCCCCCCCCCCCCGTGCCCCCGCGTGGCTACGCGCCTGGTTAGGACAATTTTTTTTGCGATGGGGTCATGAACGCGAACTTTTTTTTTGGGGGGGGGGAACAAAATTGTTGTGCGTAAGATATGCCAGAGTGAGTTTTGCCGAGAGGGCAGGCCACCCCCCCCCCCTTACCGGAACCGCCACTGAAAACATATGATATTTTAGGGCATTTCGTGACCAATATGTAAATACGGCAATAGTAAAGGTAATAAATCACAATTTGCTATTTAACGAACTTAAACAAGTTGATGAAGACCATTGAGAAGGATAGGCCTATGAAATACTGTGGCAAAACCAATTCACTTCAAGAATAAATGTAATAACCAAGTAGGAATCGCATTGTATCGTTTTATCTTGGAGTTATATATCAAACTATATAATTCAATGTTGCAAACTAACAAAGAAATAACGAACCAGATATGACATTACACAAGCATGTACAAACATAGACTAAAATGGAAGATCTTCGATTTAGTTATCGCCTGTACAACAATGGACAGAAAAAAGAAATAGAAAGTAAAATGTTGATAGGATGGGAGGGGGGGGGGGGGGTAGGGGGAAATAGGGGTGGAGGAATAGGGGGTGGGGAATAGTGAGTGGGTATGGACTGTTTCAGAGAAAATACTATTCCTTGCAGTATTACAAAGACAGTTTGAAAACGATTATAAAAAAAAGGGTAAATAATAATTACAAAACGAAGATTTGCCGTATACTTATACATTATACTTATAAATGTAACATAACTCATTGTAGATAAGAAAACCTAAACAATTCATAGGAATATGACGCCCTCTTCTCCATCACAGAAATTAGCATATGGGACTACACTTTCATGTAGCATGAAAGTTTGGTCCAAACGTTTAAGATATTTTACCTCAGTTTTTTAACAAAAGGGCTTTTGAAGAGCACTTTTCCAATGAACATTTTTTTAAATTCGATATTCTTCAAAACTGACACAAAAAGAAACTCACAAAATATTTTTTCGTTTTTACCAGGACGTGTTCTAACTCAAACAATGTTAACAAAAACATTACTGCACATCTTCTTATACACCACAACTATTCCATAATCAGTTTATTATTCTTATTTTTTATATATTCATCATGAACATACTACCATATACCACTCACACATAATGCAATAATCATTCTTTGAACTCGTAAAAACTACGAATAGTACTTTTTGGGTCCTATTAACAATTTTTTTCCTTAGAACTCTACGATCTCAACGCGCAAATTATAACGTTGTACACTAGCTGAACAAAATACAATTCAATTATTATTATTATTCAACTTTATCTTCGCAATTACAGCAATTACCATTCAGCCGCCAATTTCATATATTAATATAAAAATAGGAAAGACCCAACTCAAGCTATATATACCTAATTACATTTCTGACGGCCCCTCGGTTAACAAGTAACTCCTAGCGGATACCGGCGCTATATAAATATCCATATTATTATTATCATTAATTGCAAAGTAAGAGAATAGAAGAATTACTGCATTAAAACAATCACAGCAGATATAAGATCAATATGATAGTTTAGGCTATTTACAAGAAACATTTAGCATTCAATATATCAGCATACATCTTGAAATTATTATCGGCACGTTTGGACTTTCACTGGCCAGATAACGATTTAATAGTCGCTATATTCGCAATTATCCCCAGAAATAGGCAATTTCAAAAATGTTAATGAAATTTGGCGATATGAAGTCGATTAAGTCTTAAGCTTCTCAAATTAATGAAAGACATGATTTGTTGAATGCATCTGGAAATGCAAGCATTACTTTAAACAATAAGATTTTTTTTTTCCTCCTGGCTCATTTCTCTAATTGAGGTGTCATATGAAAGGGCAGAAAATGAACTTTCTGGAAATGTGATTTTCTCTTTGAAATTCAGATACCGTTCGCCAAATGACTATTTGGTACCCTTTCTTCAAATTGGTTTCGATCACCCATGCATAAAATATGCATCATATGAGTCGCATCAAATGAAAGAGAAGGACTTAAGCTTTACAAATATGTGTTATTCATTAATCATAAAAAAGTGTTAGATTACATCAAAGTGAAGAAATGCAATAGTAATAATTCGAGGGTTCAGTGACACAAAAACCTAATATTTTGCCAAAATGAGTATTTGATATCAAAATGTTCAGAAAAATGTGGGCTTTCCAGAAAACACAAAGACTTAACTCCACCCAACACCCATTGGAGTCAATGGCTAGTGAAACATAGACTTAACCCCTTAGGGCCCAAGGCTCAGTGACGCATAAACCACTTTTTCTCAAAATGGCCAAAATGGAGTTACGTCTTTGTGTCACTGACCCCTCGAAAATTACTGAATGTATCTCAAATATTTTGCACACAACAAAATAGATAAGCTTTTGATCTGTTAACTCTAGCTCAGCTTGAAAGGTAAACAGTTTACACCTTACACGTTTTTGTCAATGACAGGGCAGTACACATACAACAAGATACTTCTGTTTCGAACCAACTTTGTCATTTTTTGTTGGTCACTGGTCACATTCGTTCGGTGTTTGAATATCTTTTTAGAGATTTAATTTCCAAGTACAAGAGACTTTCGCACTAAAAAGTGAATGAAACATCCACCGATATAAGTAGCTGTTGCGTCCGTTTAAACAAAAATATGAATTTCACCTTAAAACACGAGATATTAGTTACTGCTTTTTTATGGAAAGAAATACTACAGTTTCACATTTCACTAGTTAAAAGATTATGCATTATGACTCATAAAATAATAAAAATCAGAACTGGCCTGCAAGTGCCAGAGTGTAACTGTGCTTAAGATGATTTAATAGAAAGAGAAGCTCGCAAAGCAAGAACTGGAAATATTTACCATAGAAACCAAGTAAAATATGCATAATATCCCATTCCAGAAAGCAGAAATATAATTATTTCTGATTATCTATATGCAGCGGATTTTCATGACGAGATATCGGAGGAAGATAGATTGTACTTTTACCCTGTAAAGTAAGATATGCAGAAACAGAAACACGAGGAATAGTTAAAATAATAATGATACTGATAATATAATTACATATAATAATAACATAAATAATAATAATAATATACAAATATGCCACTGTCTTGAGAGGTTTTTGGTTAAAACTATGGGCAAGAGATGGCTCCAATAGTACCATTTGCTGAGGGGCGAACCCCTCAGCAAATGGTACTATTGGAGCCACCGAGGCCCTTAGTTTCAACCAGTACCTCGAAAAGAAGGCATGGTATATTTGTTATATCCTGCATCAACTTTTTTTAAAATCAAAATATAAAAATTACAATTTTTGTTAACAAAGATAAAAATCAAGGTTCATTTATTTGTCGCCCCAACAACCTCAAATTAGTAGCGATCGTGTGATCCTGGTTAATATGTAGAACTCTCCCAGATAAATGATGAATATGAACTGCTCACCTTGTATGGCTCAGTTAGGATATTTATTACAATTTATTACAATATGTTTTTTTACGAGTGAAGCGAAGTCAAGCCGCTTGATATGTATAAGAGCGCTTTATACATGACTTCGATATTGATATTATTGTTATTATTATTATTATCATCATTACTATTATCCTTATCATAAGTATTATTATTAACGTTATTATTATTACTATTGTTATCGTTATCAATATCATAATCATATTTTGACAAAACACCGAAAGTATCGAGATCAGTTTTGGGGGAAAATAGGAAATCTTTATCAAATGATGCTCGTGTTCAACAAGCATAACATGACATTACAAAACACCGAGAGTATCAAGATCAGTTTTTTGGGAAAATATGAATTCTTTATCAAATGATGCTCGTGTTCAACTGGCGTAACATGACATGACAAAGATCCCGCCAGTCGCTTATACGGTCCTACATGTAGGTCAGCAAGTTGCGATTAATGCTCGATAGCCATAACATGATTAGTTAGAGAACGCACCAGTTGTAGTTGCCTATCCAGTCCTAAATCAATGATTAGGGACTTTTAGATTTACACGACGAGAACGTGGACTGCCACGTGTGACATCCTTATAAGGCGATGTGACGTCCTTTAAGGCACTGCCGGACACGGTAAGTGCCTTAAAAGGACGTCACACTGCCTGGAAAGGATGTAACACGTGGCAGTTCACGTTCTCGTCGGGTAAATCTAAAAGTTCCTAATGTCACCTGGTGTGTGACGGACATAACATGACGTGACAAAGACCGTGCCAGCCGCTGACACAGTCCAAAGTCAACGTCGACAAATATTGGTCCTTTTACATTCCACGGCCAAAACTTGAGGTTTTATCAACTTTACACATTGACGCAATCGTATACGTCAGGTAAATGGCGCTAGTGTTTTATAATGTTTATTTGGGACTACAAGACGAGTCTAGGGGCGTGTTCACACCGCAAGGGGGGACCGTGGGCGGACCGTGGGCGGACCGTGGATCGCGCTATCGTAGCGCGATCCACGGTCCGCCCATTGGCATTCGCCGGATCCACACCGCAGTGAGATAGCGCGGTCTATCGTAGCACCCCCTTTTTTGAGAGGTCCTGTTGTCATGATGCGTGACGTCATGAGGTCAGAGCGTTCAAAGATTTCGCGCGCTATTACGAACTAGGAGTGTTGAATTGTACCGATTCAGATTCAGATCGCACCAAAATAGAATGAGTATAAAATTCCCCGCGTATAGAACGATGACTTCCGGCGTGCTATCGTAGCTCGAGTTCACACCGGCAAATATAGCGCGGTCTAGCGCGTGCTAGACCGCGCTTTCTCTCGTGGACCACCCCCAAGAGGTGCTCCAGTGTTGGCTCGCCGTGGCTCGCTGTTAGGCGTCCGAAACGACGTTGTACCTTCCACACCGCAGAGATAGCGCGGTCTAGCGCGCGCTAGACCGCGGTATCTCTGCCGATGTGAACAGCCTCAAAGACCGCGTAGTTGTACGCCAGCAAATAACGCGTTAAGGGCATACAGCAAAGAGGGACAAGGGTTCGAGCCTTACCTGAGCCCATTTGGGTTTCTGACTCTCCTTCTTCCACTGAGCATACTCTCTCCTATCTTGGATGTTGATATATAACCTCCAGGCGCAGACCAGGATAATCCCGATCAGGACGATGCCGAGAATGATTCCGATGATGATCCACCTGATTTCTGTCGGAGTCAGCCGCGGCTTTCTCGGATTTGGTGTGATGCATGCTGTTCAATGAGGATGAAGGTGAGGGTATTGTAAATCAACTTTATGGATATGGTACATGGGACAGTGCATGGATCATCTAGTACTGTCCCCTCCCCTCTATCCCTCCATGTCTCTTTCTTTCTCTTTCTATCTCTCTCTCTCTCTCTTTATATATATATATATATATATATATATATATCTCTCTCTCTCTCACGCACAAGCACGCACACACGAACACACAAACCCCCATCTTCTCTCTACTTCCAATGGCTTCTTCATTATCTTTATTTCTATATAATATATCGTCCTTTCTTTCTCACCCCTCCCTCCATTTCTTTCTCTCTCTTTCACCCCACTCCCTCTCTCTCCTGTTCTCGCTGTCTCTCTCACTCTGTCTCTCCATTTTCTATCTCTTTCTCTGTACATCTCTCCGCCTGTCACTCCTTCGTCTCTTGGAACTTAACTGTTTCTTGTATTATTGATAAATTCTACTTTTGGCAGAAATATACATGTACTTACTTGGTTCCCCCTCAACATATACAGTGACTGTTTCGTTCTCTGAGACAACGACAAACCGAAAAGTGCAGATGCCGTTCAGCATAAAGTCACATATGGGGTTGTCTTTCGTATCTGAAATGACAGAGATAGATAAGAGATAGTAGATGAATAATATTTGATGAATAGTTATTAAGCAAATAATTACCGGTGGTGAAGGTGATGTGACAAACTATCACTTTCGAGGCGATCTGGATGTATACGCATCTTTCCTCAGCTTCGCTTCGAAAGATATACATTCAGATCGCCGAGGAAGTGATAGTTTGCCATCGCCTGAAACCAAAAGGTGATTTTTTGCTTTATATTCCACATCAGAAACATTTCAGTTCTTCCGTCATTTAATTTTTAGAGCAACAAGTCATCAATTAACAGCTAACAAACGGTGTACGATATGTACAGTACATGCAGTACTTACTTACGTACGTATACGCAAGTATACAATCTTCAGTAAAAGTGCTTTGAACTGTATAGATAGTACTACTATCTTCAGTGAAAGTGCGTTGCACTGTGTAAGTAGTAGTACTATCTACACAGTGTAACGATCTTTTCTTCTCCCCTCAATGATGGGCTAACTATCTTTCATCGCGTGATTTTGTTTTGACCAGTCGTAGAGCAAGATTAGTATGTGGAATATAATACCTAGTAAAGAAACAATGATGCAGAACTGATTTGCAATCATTTTACATTTTGATTAAGCGACTAGTCTACTGGGCAAAATGTAAACCAATATTGTACTATACATCTTTAAGATTGGGTATATGTAAATGATATTGGTACTACACATGCTGCACTTTTCTCGTGGTAACGTGTCAGATACAAACAATCAACACTTCCACCACACATTCATCTACGGATTAACACTCATCATACTTACACTCGTCAATACTTGTAACGTTGATGATGTCGATACTGCACATGCCGCACTGTTCAGGTGTTAGCCTACCTGATTCAAACACTGTGCACTGTACACAATCTCTGTGTATGTGACAATTTCCAGATGGACATGCCTGCCATGAGGGAATAAAAAGTCAGTTTAATTCAGAATGTAAGATTTACTTTCATATTCAATAAAAAGCTTTCAAATGATGTAAAATAATATAATTTTATTGAATCTCTTAAACTTTAAAAAGCATTGACATTTCTATCAAAGTTAACAAGAATGATGGCTGAAAATTTTATATCTTAAAAAAGATAGAAGAAATATCTTATATTTTTTTACGCCAACATCTTTATCGACAATCGAAGCTCAATTGTGGGCTCAGTTCAGTAGTAATTCAACGAGTGCTTTATTCAACTACTATAAGTACTATTATTACGTTACCATTTTTATTACAAATGGAGGTAACCGAAGCATAATTCAAGATGTTTGCTTTCAGATCTTGCCTATTTTAGAAAATTTATGAAAATGACCAAGGAACATTCATTCACAAACTTACAGTGCATCTCTCACACGTTTTACCCTGAAACTGTGAGTCCTCAATACACTCGCAGACACCGCATTCACATGTTCCACGTGCGTTACATTCCAACTGCAATGGAAGAGAATGTTATTGAACAAAATTTTAACACAATAATACAACAGGGACACCGCAGTGAAACAACAATGATGCCACAATGACACCACAATGACACCACAATGATACCTCAGTGGTGCCACAGTCAAACCAGAGTGAAACTACAGCGATACCTCAGTGATACTACAGTGATATCACAATGATACCATAGTTACACCATAGTGATACCAGTGATACCACAGTGATACCTCAGTGATACTACAGTGATATCACAATGATACCATAGTTACACCATAGTAATACCACAGTGGTAACAACAATGATGCCACAATGACACTACAGTGATACCTCAGTGGTGCCACAGTAAAACAAGAGTGAAACTACAGTGATACCATATTACACCATAGTGATACCACAGTGGTACCTCAGTGAACCACAATGTTATCTCAGTGATACCACAGTGACACCACAGTGAAACCTCAGTGATAACACAGTGTAATAAACTTAGCAAACTACAGTGATACCATAGTGGTACCTCAGTGAACCAGTTATACCACAGTGATACTACATCGATACCACAGTGATACCTAATTGAACCACAGTGATACCAGAGTGATATCCATGATACCACAGTAATATCATGCTGAAACCACAGTGAAACCACACCAAAATCACAGTGAAATGACAGTGATACCTCTGAAATATCATTATGAAACAATAGTCAAGTTAGAGAGACCTCAATAATATCACAGTGAAAACTAAGTGATATAACACAATAAACAACATTGATACCATTGTGAATTCATAGTGATTCTTAATTTATGAACAACTTTATCGATTGAAAGATTGTTTGCCTGGTTTGTAATTGATCTGTTAACAGATACATAGGTGAGTTTATTCATTCATCCATCCATATATTGCACTACTACCAATTCACATGACACGTCCTGAATTGTTCAAATATCCAAGTATCAGTGCAAATATTATAGGGATCGCTCGATCTAACAATCACTACATAATTAAAACGGATAACCTTCCATTTGCAATAATTGGTGACTTACTCCATTGCTGGCCCGACACGTGTCTTTTCGTGTTGGGCAGTCACAACTATCTCCCTTGAAGCCCGGCTCGCATCGGCACTTAGGTTGTCTTGTAGCTACGTCACAGACACACATTCCTTGATCAGGCCCTACGAACAAAACAAAAAAATTATTGTAATTTTTGTTTAAAGAATGAAGTGTTGGTCCTCGAAATGCTTACATTAAAGAAAACAGCATAATTTATATTGATACTATGTGATGTTTAAATTGAAATGAAAAAGATCAATAAAACCTGATGCAATTGACTCTAGCTTTCGGCCTAGCTGCCATGAGACCCTGAAACATCAAAGGAATTCATTTCTGAGTACCTTCTTAGTACACCTGGGTTGAGGGTGGCAATTGTAGGTTAATGTTTAGCCTAAAAGGGCACTAATGACACAAAATGTACACCATCCACTCATAAGATGCTGTTGATACATTTACAACTACACACATTTTGACTGAGAACTTGAAGAAATTTGTTTTCAGCGAATTGGAGATGAGAATACATACCTCCACAACGCAATCCTCGGCTGTATGGACAATTGAAGTTATCACATTCACAGAATTGTCCTGAGATTACCTCACCAGGGATCTGAAAATATGACAAAACATGGATGATAATGACAATAATAATACTAGTAATAATAATGATGATAATAATGGCATTGATATTAACACTAAAAATAATAATAACAATACAGACATGTTTTACAAAGTGTTAGATATTCATTAAAAGGGTACCAAAGTATTATGTTAAGAGTTGATGTGGGTCGGAGACTCGTCATAAGATACATGATAACGTTACTGCATCACGCCATTATTCATTTAAATCAATTCTTCATTACAGTAATTATTATCCACAAATCATTTATGGAAAATTATTTAAATGCGTAGTAAAAAATACAGAGGATCAGTAAAATGATATACAATATCGTGTTAACAAAGAACAGAAAGCAGGAAAATGCATAACCAGGTATATGATACATTAAACAACAATTTCTCAGACATCACGCAATAATTTCCCAGACATTTCATCAATATCAGGTTAAGATATAATAAACGAACTTAAATTGGATAATCCAACATCAAGAAGTCGAATAGTGAAAAAAGATTATGATCCAATGTCTGATCCATATATTCTGTTGAAGGTAATACAAAGTTTTGGTATGGGGTCATGAATTGGGTTCAAATGAACATAATGGAAGCAATGCGGTTCGACAATATTAAGTGATCGTTGTCGCGGTTGAAAACGAGTCTAAAGTTTTGAAATTGTAAATAATAAACTCTCTATGTTGTATAACTCCCTCTCAAGGTCAAGATATTAATTAAGCTATAAAACAATGTTTCTTGACTAAAATCGACCGATTAGCTCTTCCCGTTTGGAAATTATTTATCACAACTACATATTCTGAGATTTTCATGGTCGCAGCTAACATTGTACGGCCGTACAGGCGCTACTTGCAATTTATCTAAATTTACCGGGAGCACCGGTAAATGTTTATATTCAATTTTTCTCGAAAGCAGAAGTGTTTTAGGGGCTAATTTTTCAGTGCTTATAAGACATCCACAGGGGCATCCAAATATATCAAAATGGTAAAGAATCACTATCCACCCAATTTCAAAATTTCCCAAATCTTTGTATTACCTTTGATATCTAAGATGAATTCAAAGAGTATGGTATTATATATATATATATATATATATATATATATATATATATAGCTCACCCCAGTGTTATCACAGACACATTTCCCACAGATGCATTCTCCACGTCCAGAACAAGTTCTTGTTGTGTTGTCCCTGGATAGTAATGATACATATAATATAATAATACAAATGATAGTAACAATAATAAATATACAAATAATAATAGTAATAGTAATAATGATATTAATACTAATGATAATAATAACAGTATTAATAATAACTAGAAATGCAATCGTGTCACAACGATGTGCGTGCAATGACGCCATGTTTCTACGTGTCAAACGAAGGAGCTACTCTCGGACTATCCAGAGCAATATGTAAGAAGTCTGTAGCTTCTGTGATAGTGGAGATAGTTAGGGCGAAAGAAAGGTCACCAAAACGGCCCGAAACGGAAAAAATGGTGCCTGGACGGTCACGCATGAGGGTTTCCGGAGAACGAAGAATTTAGTGACCTTGAAGGAATGCTAGAGACTACGCCTACGAATTTTGAAGGGAATTGGAGTAGAGTAAGGCATATAGAAAGGGCTCGCAAGCACTGCGTACAAAACCAATAGGACTTGGTGCATGATGAACATGTTGCGACGCGTGCTTTGGCACGAACGGCCGCCCATACTAACACAACCGAATAACAGTCTTAAAAATGACTTCATGGCCGAAACGTGTTATAATAGGGCGGAAACTCGGCGTACCCTTGTTCAAATGCGATTTACTCACAATTTTCTGCGTGAACATATACCATACTTGGTATCATTCGAAAGGGCACTTCAGTGCGGTCAGTTTGAAACCATTGTCATCTGCGCAAAACGTACTGCACGCATCAAACGCGCTATTACGTAAAGCATAGTAAATTCATCATTTTTGGCGATAACTTGGCGAAGAGGGCATTACAATTTACTAAACTTAACAGACAGTTGTCACGTATATGGATACATGTGTGTGCCAAGTTTCATTGATGTAGGTATAAAGATCGCCGGTTTAGAGCAAGTTGAAGTTTTTTCTCAATTTTCTTGAAAATGGCGAATTTGGAGGGCAATTTTCTCAAATTTGGTCAGTGATAGGGTATATGATTTTGTATATGGCTGGAAAGGGCATATCTTCAAGTATCTAAATCCAAAAAAGGGTACGGGTTTGCCAAGCCATTATGGAGATACGGCCACAGAGAGAAAGCCAATTCCCAGAACTTTAGAGGGCGCTATTTATGTTTTGCAAAGCAATTGGAGCGTGATTATTTGGCATGGCTATGTGCAATTATGAGATAAAGATACTGTGAGATTTAAATACAAAACGAAATTTATATGAGAAAGTTATGGCAGTTTTAGATTATTAAGGGGTCAATTTTTCAAGAATTTGAGAGACTTTTGACGGAGTCGGTTTCAGATTTGAATTTTGGGTACGAAGATGGCATTTTGAAGGGCAGGTTATATATCGCAGATGAAAGAACATCTCTTAGACTATTTAGAGGAATTTGTTAGAAGTTTGTAGGATCTAGGATAGTGGAGATAGGAAGGAAGAAAGAAAGGCCTTAAAATGGACCAGAAACGGACAAAATGGCGCCTGGACGGTTATGCATGAGTGATTTCGAAAATCGAAGAATGTAGTGACCTTGATGAGATGTTAGAGACTATGCCTATGAAATTTGAAAGGAAAAGGACATGAGAAAAGTACCTAACTAGGAATAACAAGCACTACGTGCAAAACGAATGCGATTTCCTGACGATAAGGAAGAAAACGAAAACAAGGAGGAGAATATTAATGCAGAATGGGGCAGAATGTGAACGAAAACAAGGCAATGACGAAGGTTCGTCATTGCAATGATAAGATTATAATAAATATAACAATAATAATCATAATAATAATGATATTAATACTAATAATAATAATAACAACATAATGAAAATTATATTAATAATAATAATCATGATGATAATTATGATAAGAAAAATACTAATGATTGAACCAATCATAATAACAATATTGATGTAAATAGTAATATTCATCATACTAGCAATATAATAGTAATAATGATAATAATAATAAAAATAATGATAATCATAATTGTAATAATGATAACAATAATGATAATAATAATTATAATAATGATAATAATAATTATAATAATGATGATAATAATAATAACAATAGTAATAATATCGAAAATAATATCGCTAGTGATATTATTTTCGATACTACATCCGCAATGAGTAATATATTTAGCAATAGTAATAATAGTAATAATAGTTTCAAACTTTCAGAATTTTCGTTTGATTTTTGTTCTTGTCCCACCCCCTCCTCTCTCTCTCTCTCTCTCTCTCTCTCTTGATCCATGTACATTATGTTCATATGCATGATCTTTTAATATAACATTGTGATAATAAAATAAAATTATCAGCGTTTCTCAATCGAAGAAGAAAAGTTGATCAATTTGAACCAATTTATGAATGGCTTCATTTCATTAATTTCACTTAAAATTCCTTATTTGGGGGTACCGTGATACTAACGTTCTGCATTGGGATGTATCCGTGCTCTCCATGCTGATTTCATTACCGCTGCATTCACACTTGACGCCATACCGTCCAGGGTTGCATGCACACTCACCACACACCAACGTCCCGTTACCATTGCTGCAAACATTGCTGTTTGCTTCCTTTTGAATGTGAAAAGATAAGAGATATCAACTGTGGTTGGTCCTGTTCACATTCTGAACATAATACACATTTTTAATACTGTTGCTTTTACTTCTCAACTGTCTGGAAAGAATTGGGAAAGGTTGAGCATGTAGTACATTATTATTGATGTACACTATGTGGCTTTGGAATCATCAAAACAATTTCTAACAAGGGAAACGCTCTCGGCGGTCTCGCCTTCATTACGCAATTCAATATGATGAGAAATTGAGGTTAGACAATTTGTTATAGGCAGGAATGGGGGGGGGGGAGCAATTAGCATGCCTCCCAAAATGAAATCCCCTGAATGTAATCAGCATTTTGAAGAATTAATTACTATAATTTGTGAAAACATAATCCAAGTCTACTGACCTAAAATGACAATTGAACTTGACTTTGTGACCTGGAATTTGTGCCATATGATTTGTGAAACTTGATAACCCTGGGAAAGTTTCATGAAATTTGAACAAACATTTGTGAAATTATGCTAAAGATTCAAAATCTTGATGTTGATGCCATAACAAAGTATAAGTTTGCAGGCCTGAAATGACATTTGACCTTGACTTTGTAACCTAAAAGACTAATCAGATAATTGATGATGCTTGATAACCTTTATGTTCAAGTTTCATGAAATAGGAATGTATACTTTTAAAATTATATTAAAAATTCAAAATCTTAACAACTGGTTAAGTTTTTGATGTTGATGCCACAACATAGCCTAAGATTGTTGATTTGAAATTACCTTTGACCTTGACTTTGTGACCTGAAATTCTACTCACATGATTGGGAATACTTGATAACCCTCTAATCTTAGTTACATAGAATAAGAATAAGAAAACTTAACCTTAGGTTAAGTTTTTGATGATTTTGATGTTCACACCGTCGACGCCGACGTCACCGGTAAACGGCGCCTATGTCTCGCTTTTTGCTATGCAGGCGAGACAATAATGGACTTGCTGAAAACCACATACCACATACAAATATGGGTATGTAAGACTACGTATAGGTCTACATATGTCATTATCTGTGGGCCAAACTTTTCTGCTATTTCTCGTCATATGTTGAATCCGAGTGGATGGGGAAAACAATGTTCTCAGAGGGTATTTGTTTTATGATAGTCTTCCGAGCTGACACAAAAAGAAATAAAACCCCATAAACAATTTTGTTTTCACTTTCACCAAAACTCAACTTTTATTGCAAACAAAGAGGGATATTAAAAAAGTAATCCTTTTCAGAGGCTCTTCTTTTATATTCTTCTAATTAATGTTTTAGAGTAGCCTAATACTTACCCCTAATCCCTGACAATCGCATTCACACGTCACTTCTAGCTCAATCTTAAGTTCTTCATTGAATCCGACTGGTCCAATTTCAAAACTGATTATATGGAAAGGAAAGAAAAACTTTCATTAAATTGGAATGTAATCATGAACAACAGATTATTTTTGCGAAACAAATTTGATTCACAGACCACATGTTATTGCAAAACAGCACTCACTTCACGCAGAAACTCGACTTTAATTTAGCGAGAAATAATAATTGCATTTTCTCCACGACATTTCAGCGAATCGTCCTTTTCTCCCCTAAATACCCAGTAGTCTAATAGTTTGATACACTCGCCGTAGAATATGTGCATCAATACTTTTTTTTTCGAACAAGTTTGTTATTACAAATGAATGGTAACTGCGCACTACAAAGATCACTGAGCTCTGTATTAAATATAACAAACAGAAATGACACGTTACGTTACCTATACAAAAAATATATATACAAAAACGCGGTTTTGTCGGGTCATATCTGAACGACGCTTACCTCGTCATGCCGCCTTCGACACACCTCTCGGCCGTGATGGTGATATCAAAGGATACTGTGTCCTCTAGCTTGAGTCCCGAACACTCGTTCGTGTCTTCGTATGTCTGGTCTATACAGTTCGCTCGGTAGGAGAGTGTGACGTCATCGGGGGCTGTTGACGTCAGTCGGACTTGCGATGTGATACGCTGAAAGTGCAACCGAACCAAATTGTAATTGATAATAATTTTGAAAGACTTCCAAGGCCCCCCAAACAAATTGTATTTGATCCCACCGTTCGCATATACTTAACACAAATAAAATACAAACCAATATCTAAAACACTGTGATGAAGATTTAAGGAACTCGTTGTGAGCAGGGACGTGATAGAGAAGGACTGGAATCAAGCCGCTCTCCTTTGACCCCATGCTCCAAGCCGTCGAAAAGTTATGCGCTAATCTGCAACTGTTGACCAGGTGGTGAGATAAAAGAGCGCATGAAATTTCAGGAGTTAGAATTCCTACATCAGAAAATGGTATCACTGCAACTGTTCGCTGTCCCTTCCAATGATTTCTCATCCATTGTTGAATGTGTAAAGAGTAGAACAAGCGAACACAAACTTGTGTACTTTCATCCTTTTTTAAACTTGAAAAATACAAAAAACACGCGAAAACACGCATTAGCAAACTTAATGTTATTGAAGATTGTAAACCATGGATCAAATAACGGGACATTAAAGCATGCACAAATTAGCGCATCATCCTAAAATATTGAGTTTTTGACAGGATGTAATTTTTCTTTTACCAACTCTGGCACACAAATTAAAGGAAGGACGGAGTTTTAAATTTAAAAATTTGTTTGATGCACTATTCCCAATAAAATCCCCATATAAAGTTTTTGATTTACACTGAAATTTTGCCGGTAATTTAATATTTTGTAATAAATGTAAAACTGGTGCCTGGCTTCCGAAAGTCCCCGCAGTGGAAGCGCGGTTCGGAGCATGGAACTTCAAAGCCAAGTGGAATGTTACACATCCCATTGTTACGCTTTAGAACTCAAGAATGCGTTGAATAAATTACAAGAGTTTCGCCTCCTTTTCTTTCACCTCCCTGTTGTGAGGTAGAAAGTTAAGCTACGGTCACAAAGGTTCGTACGAAAGATGCGTTCGTACGAATCTCCCTGTTTTTCCATTGTCTTTCCGAATATCAATTGTCTGAAAATCGTTCGTACGGCGTTCGTAGCAGTTCGCAATGGCATTTGTGACCGAGGCTTTACATGGCCTGTGTCGGACATGCAATTATTAGGAAAAGGAAGGTGAGGAATTGATCACCATAATATCAATATACATTCATATGCATAAAGTGCTTTGCTTTTATAAAATATGCGTGCAGAAGTAAATGAACAGTCTCCAATGTTGTGCATATCACGATTGCTACTTGCAGCAAGTACAGCAAAATCATGAAAACGACCGATATGCACAACTACTATATCTAATCATCCTCGAGGAGGAATTAACTGTGCAGAAAGTGTGACATTTACCTTTAATAATCATCATCTATAAAGGCCATTACAGAAGAGTTATATTAACCTTACGTCATAGTCTGAATCAAGAGCCTGGGAATATAGCCTTACTTTCCCCCTTTTTTCATAAAAACGACAAGTTATGTGGGTCTTACGTCATAGTTGGATTGAATGAGCTGCACAATGTTTCCCGAGTCAACGTCAAGCGTCCCAACTGTCGCACCTTCAATGTAGTTCTCCAGTTTCTGTAAAATAGAAAATATCATGAAAACTGCATGCTTAAATCGGTGATTTGATTTTGATCATTGTTTTGCGTTTTGTTACAATAATTAATGTAACAATAAATAATAAACGCTCACATAAAGTAAGTTAGTATTTGAACATGAATATTTACAATTTGCATACAACTAATTGACTCAGGATTCTACCAAGGATAAATCAACATTTCTTACATAATTATATAAACAAGTAATATATTTGTACATGTAAAGATCATAACAACCAGAGAGACAAAAAGTTTCATTCGACATATTCCTTCATCTTCAAGAAATTGTAAAATGGGTATTGAAATAAATTGCCACAATGTTTTGTCATCAAGGGAATATCGTTGACGATGTAAAATTCATTTTATTGTCTTAACATTATCCTATTAGTATTATTAAGCGCTATACACGATTCCACCTATATCATTAATATCATTACAAGAGACAATCATCCCTTTAAACTTCTCCATTACTATTTCTGTTAAGTTTCATCGTTTGCTGCTACATGTACTGTACACTACAACCAAGTTGAGACAGTACACTGACCATGTACAGGTTCGTTCGGCGACTGGTAACAGCGAAAATGGGAATGACGTTGTTTTCTCGTAGCTTGGCGCTGAGATGACCGATAGAGGGGTAATCCTGAAAATCATGAAAATAATACAGATAAGCTTGTAGGTATTATGGCCGTAATCATCATTAAACTCATCATCGCCATCATCATTGTACTCATCATCACCATCATTATCATCGTCTTTATCACCACCATCACTGCAAAGATGTTTTTCAATTGAATAAATCGTGTCAAACAGGAAAGGACCGAGTACAGTGCCCTGGGGATCCCAGAAGTCATTGAAATATTAGACGATATTTGTCCATCGAGAAGAAATATCTGTTGGCATTGTGAAGGGAAAAGAATCCATCATTTCATGTTTCTTCTGTTACCATGGTGATCGATCTTTAACAAGTCGTTGATAGGGTATGGTATCACAGGCCTTACTGAAGTCTATCATACATAAATCAGTACACGGCCACGGTTATTACTGTGTCAAGTCATTTATCAGACCGGCTAGCTGAGATTGGTATACTCTCTTTAAAAAAAGAGTGAATTTTCACTCTATTTTCACTTTCTTGGGAGTGACGTCCGTGATCACTTGTTTAGAAGTGAAAATCGATTGATTTTAGAGTGCTCTCTAAGAAGAAAAGAGTGAATGTTCACTCTATTTTCACTACATTTTCACTCTCCAGAGGAGTGACGTCCGTGATCACTCGATTTTTTTTAAAGAGTAGGGTTTACTGCTTCTATCCCGTGTTGCTTTGAGAAAGCTGTGTGTTTGCTGGAATAGAATCCAAGTCGATGCGCCAGTGAGCTGTAATTGGTAAGACATTGATTCTCATACTATGACCCTCTGAGGATAGTTAAAACGGTCGGTCGGGTAATACAGTCAGGTAAAACAAGGAAACCGAATAACCGACTTACTTGAAAAAACAACTTACCTGTAGCGTACTAAAGGTGTACATGTTTGTGTTAGGATCCGTGTGGCACTGTCCGTCATTGGGTTCCACTAGGCCTCCAAGCTGATGAGAGAGAGAGAGAACGAGAGAGATAAACAGATATAACGAGCAAGGTAAAGAGCGAGAGGGTGGGGGTAAATTGCGTTAGAGATAGTGAGACAGATAGGGAAAAAGATAAAGAGAGCGAGGTAGAGAGAGAGAGAGCGTGAGGGATGGAGCGCAAGATGAAATAATGAATCATTTTCTAAATGTTTATGTTCATCAAAGTTGGTTGTTTATTTATCTGTTCTGTATTCATTATTTTATCTAATGAACAATATCATAATGAGCTTTTTAATAATTATTGTCACGATTATCCCGCCCGAAACTCTATAACGAAACGTCGTATAAAGAATCATCGTATAAATTTCAGGGTGTCCACACACAGAAGAAAGTAATTCTGAAACTCTACAGCGAAATGTCGTATAGGTGCGCAGTTTGCTACTGCGATCATGAAATGGAAGCGGAAATGAGAGGTCAGGTCTCCTTTCGCTCGAGTTCACGTTAAGCCCCGCCCAGTTATACCGTTTTAGTTCGACTAGTTATACTAGTTACGTCCACACACAACATATTCCGTGATTAGGCGTGAGTAGGCGTGATTAGTTATACGTCGTATAACGAAACGCATGTTTGGGCATCGATTCGTTATACGACGTTTCGTTATACGACGTATCGTTAGTAAGCGTCCACACACACAATGTCATTGTATAACTATCGCGAAACGGTATAACTAATCACGCCTAATCACGGAAAATGTTGTGTGTGGACACGGGGTAATTCTATTAAACGTACTCTCCCGTCCCCCGCAATGTGAAACGGAGCGTCTGTTGTAAAGATTACCAGATGGCGAGCTTTGGGTCTCCAACCGATTATGTTCTGTCAAAGTAAAGATAAATACAAAGTTAAATATTTCAAATATCATTATTATCTTTGATTTTTCTTTCCAATTCATATAGTTGAGTCAATTAAAACACGGATTGAATAGGTGTACACATTAAACATGGCGAGGCAGGGTAAAGTCTATGTTAGACAGATACGGTCTTCATACGGATGTATTGACAAATTTTAAATAGATAACTATAATCATCGACAACGAAACAAATAGACAGACATAAAGTGTCATGTAAAATGACATGAATAACTTTGAACATCACAAGACAAATTGGGAACTCAGTCATGAGTCTGTGACGTCATTGCCTCACTATCCACTAATTATTTTCTTTATATTGATAATATAAATTTCCCATTTTCCCCCTAAAAATCTTATTTCCTCACACCAGCATCCAAGTTAAATTGATAGTAAGATGTTTTGCTAAGGATGCACTTATATAGAGTAATTTTGATTTCAGTTAAATCATGAAAAATGTGAATTTTGTTAAACTATTTAATGTAAAAATCTAGGATTATAAATATACAATATTCAGAAAATAATATCGATTCTTCAGATTAAAAGATTTTGTGAAATGTAATGCACGCAATTTGATACGAATCATATAACCTGGGTAAAGACATGGGAAATCAAGTTTGGGGGATAAAAAGGGAAATTAATGGGATAAAAATATATAAAGTTATTGATAAATAGTGAGGCAATGACGTCACAAACTGATAACCAAATAATAATAATAATGATAATAATAATAATAATAATAATAATGAGCCCGGCAGCCACTGAGCAGCGCCAGATCGACGTTGCTCTATCCCTTATTATTGAACGCCAAACAAGGTAGCAACAACTCCCATCTGTTAACGTCTTTTGGTATGACGCGGCCGGGGTTCGAACCCACGACCTTCCGGTTGTGAGGCGGACGCTCTACTTTGTGTAGAGATTTCCATTATTTCATAGTTTTTCATACATAGATGACAATCTTTGGTCATTTACGTTAAAAATGAAAATGATCTTGCAAATCAGATATAAAAGGGGAAGAGAGAAGATTTAGGTCTAGGTTTTAGCATTAACAAGAATAATAAAATGACGATTCATATCTGAGTTTTTAAAGTGACAACTCATAATTCAACCTATTAATTACTACCACAGGTATTAATTTGCCTACAATTATTGCATATAAATGACATTGGTATGAGTTGTAGTTTATGAAATCCCCATAAACAGCAATAAGCATTAACACATGGCGAATAATTATCGAAGATAAGATCACAACGACTTTCAAGAATTCAACTTAAGGGCGTTGTCTAGAGAAATAGTGTTCTGATGACATGAAAAGTCGTTATAATGTTCGCACATGAACAGATGATGAACAAAAGGCTAATGAAATTATATTAGGTTGGTTGTTTGAAAATCATGTTTGAATATAAATGACATTTGTATTGATAATGAGATGTAGTTTTGATATCATACCCCGCAAACAGCAATCTGCATCAAAGCGTCAAACCCTCCCTCAGGAGTATCCAAGTTACCTGAAATAATGGTGTTTGCGATAAGATTCTGAAAACAAAGAATATACAGACATTAACAACGGAGAGAGTGATAGGTTCTACTTTTACTTTAAAACAATGTTTGATTAATATGGTAACTTTAAATCATCCTTTTAAAAGCGGCTTTTCCTTTCGCATAGCTGTGAAAGTTATATCTCTACTTAAATGGCGAATGGTTCAGTCCTCATATTGCATGAAAAGTAATGATAATATGCTGTATGATCTATACCATTAATCATGGTAGGCATATATAGTTAGTAGGTACATATTTGTTACTCGAGAAAGGTTGGAGGTGCAGAGGAGCCTGTTAAGCAGGATGACCTCTGGTATTGTATGGGATCGTACGAGATGCGTCCTGAGTCCCGAATCAACCTTGCGGTAAGCCATTTTGTCCCCTATTTTCGAGAAAAAGAAGTAGTAAAAGCAGATAATATTTCATTACCAATTAACGCTTTACACAACAAATGGATATACAATAATGCAAAAGCAGCGCCTTAATTTCACCGTAAAAAGTCTCTCCGGTAGATACGAACGCCAAAATGAGATTTACAAAACCCGTATGGACATAGGCAGAGTAACTTACAGCGAAGAGTGTTGAGTCCTCATTTAGAGGTAGTGCATTGAAGAATCCGTGTGTTCTAGCACAGGATTCTGATGACTCTGGGCATGGGAAAATCAGTCTGAGAAGAAAGAAAATACTCTTGATATTAACTTCAGCGTAGGATAAAGAGAGGAAAAAAGAAAGAGAGAAAGAAAGAGAGGATGCCAAGAGAGAAAGACAGAGAGAAAGTAAGAAAGAGAGAAAGAAAGAGAGACAGCAAGAGAGGAGATAGAGGCAGAGTGTTTTGATATTGTAAAATGTTGACTTCTTCTGTTTGTCTTAACATTGAGTTCTGATAAAAATGAACTATAAATTGTGAGTTTTCTCATTTCTTTTCATTTCATTTTTGAATAATTGCCATGGTAAAAATGTCCCCGAAGAGGATTGTTCTTCAGCTCTCCCAGAGAATGATAAAAAATAGCTGAACAGTCTGGACCTAACTTTAATGCCACTTGTGCCTCGTCCCCCTTAATACTATTTTTTGTTAATTTCCAGTGAGCAAGGTTGAGTCAATTTCAATTTCAGGACATCGTCACATACATAATGTCTTATATCTACATAGTCAACTCTCTAGACAGCTACTTTAATAACACAATCGTATGATCAGTTCTTAACTGTCTGTATTTGTAGACATTGAACCTAAGCGAATCAATTAAACTTTACAATCTAACAATTCACATTCAGTCCCTTATTTGAGACTCAGAAGTATATATCTGCATCTTTACCAGAAACCCGAAACCTTCTCATCAAAATATGAGGGTATACGGACGATTGTTTGTGCTCTTGCCTAAATTATTTTTATATAATGAGAAGCATCAGAGTGACTGTGTTGATTCCTTGTTAAAGGCCGGCTCACACTATGCCGAATAGGGAGGTACCGCCAGCTACGTTAAGCTGCGAATTGCAATATAGAGCTTCCCGACAATCATCGTGTGTTGCCTTCAATTGCCGCTGACGAATTCCGCTAGCAACCGCAGACGGCCGAAAGTATCAGTCGCATCCGTCGACAAATTTTCAGCACATTGAAAATTTTGTGGCGGCAAAAAAAAATAGTTGTGATTCCGTTCAGATTTCGTTGGAGACCGCACTCCTCATTTCCTTGACGTTTCCATGCCGTGCGATTCCGTCTCTAGTCGTTTTGAGGTCGTCACAATTTCGTTGGTAGTCGTTGTCGTTGTCGTTGTCAACGACCATTGACGGCAGAACAACGGCAGGCGACGTCACATCTCGAACCCTGACGACACATTGCGCGGCAAATAACGAATTTTTAACGACCTTGGTGCGACGATGGATTGCGAATTTTGGCCGGAGGGTGACGGTTGATGACTGTTGATGGCGGGTCATTTGCTAGTACCTGCGGCATTGCAACGGCGCGGTGGTCTGCGATGAGTTACGATTTTAAACTGGCACAGGCTTCATGTCGGCCGCTGAGTCACGTCATCGTCACCGCAACCCACCGTCAGCCGCCGTTCCTTGCCGCCAGCCAATCCACTGCCAACCGTCTGACTTCGTTCCTTGTTGCCGGTTTCCGTCGAGACATCGTCACTCGCCGCCCAGACAACGTACGATTTTGGTCGCTAGACTCCGTTCCCTGCCGCAGCCATTCGTCCCTTGCCGTCGTGTTGTCGCTGAAGGTCTTTCCCACCCGTCTTCGAATTTTGATTTTCTCCTTTTTCCGTCGCTTGTTGTGATTTTTACGTCCGTCGCCTTTCGCGGGGTCTTTGCTGCTACTATGTGAGCCGGCCTTAAAGGCAGGGAACATTGAACGTAGGAACGTTTAGGTTTGACTCATCATCTTCACACATTGATAAATATATTCTATCAGGCACGTTGCACACGAGGCGTTACTTTGCTGACGTAGGGGTGCGCCAACAATACGGAGGCGTGGTGGTTGACGCGCAAAGTGGACTGTTTCAGTTGCGATGGATTACTGGCGCATGCGCTATTTGCCTCCATAGGCTCAATGATAATATGTAATGACGCATTGTAATGATCCCTCATGTGCAACAACATTTCTCTGATGATCTCCGATATCTTGTTTACTCATTTAAGTATATCTTGAATCTCTATATATATCTATCTATCTGTCTATTTATTTCGCCAATCTGTCTATCTATCTATTTCTTTTCTCTCTCTCTGTCTCTTTTTCTTTGTTTTTTCTCTCTCTCTCTTCTCTACGTATATATCTTTCTCTCTCTGACTCTCTCTCTTTCTTTATCTCTCTATCTTTCTTTCCCTCTCTCTCTCTCTATCTTTCTTTCCCTCTCTCTCTCTCTCTCTCTCTCTCTTTCTCACCCTCTATCTGTCTCTCACTCTCTCTTGTCCCTTTCTCATTTTTATTCTCTGCATTTTACCCCTTATAACAAAAAAGCTTGATGTAATGTATAATTGTTTATGTATAATAGTTTACAATTTATGTTTGTATCATCGATGAAAAATGCCTTTGTAATATTGTATTTCTTCTTAATTGACTGCTGCTGGACAGTTTTTATACACCAATATTTAAACAAAATGAACAAAATATAACTGACCCCTTGAACCTAAATTTGAAGAAGAAAAAAACTCTGATAATCCTTACCTGTCAGGGAGGGTGTTTACGAAAGGCAGAATTCTCTTATCAACAAAGGAGCCAAAACCGAGCCGAAAGTCCCCGGTTATGTTACTCAACACTTTCGCTGTATTGGGGAGAAAGGAAGTTAACATTATCGAGGAGTGAATCAATGCAATGTTTAACAAATTGTTTCAACTTTGATTGAAAGGCAGAGCTGTTATTTGGAGAGCTACCGCGTTTTAAGTGTAACGGCTCCTGTTTCAATAATCTTCTTAGAAAGTTCACTTAAATAAATGCATTATTTTCGAAGTGATAAGCTCCTGTAACGAATGCTTTGGGCTTTCTCCATACCCCCACTAAAGTGTTGGGAGCCCCACAAATTTGATGACAGACATTCACTTAAATTGTATCATATTAAAGGGAAAGAGGATGCTATTTAAGACAAGGATGCTATTCAAGGATTTTCAAAACAAAATGTTATTGATGTCGAATATTGATGAAAGAATACAAAATTTAGGTTTTCTGCGTACAACAGAAAACCCAAATTAATAATAATAATATAGTGGGTTCTGAAGCGCTCATATCCAGGGACAGCGATCCAGGGGGGACGGGGAGGGGGGGGGGACACGTCCCTCCTCGATTCTTTTAGGGGGTATCGTCCCCCCCCCCCTGGAAAATTTGAAAAAGTGAAGAAAAAAAAGTGTATAGCAAATACTGACTAAAGACTGCAACAAACGTAAGGCTCTGTAGGGTCCCAGAGTGCAGCGTTTAGACCACACAAAAAAAAGAGCAAAAATCTTCTCGCTCGGGAGCTACGCTCCCTCGCATAATATCCTTCAAAGTGTACAAGTAAATATTATAGAAAAAGTGAAATTTGAAAAAAGTTTAAAGCTTGTTTTTATACTATAGTTTTGCAACAGAATGTAATTTTTTAATACAAAAAAACTACAAAAACCTGTAGTCACTTCCGTCGCCTTCAGCCCTCTCGTTCACTAAGCTCCCTCGCACTGGTGTAATGATTTTTTTTTTTTGGGGGGGGGGGGGGGGGGGGGGCTTGCCGGCAGTTGCCCCCTAATAAAATTCAAACGTGGTTTATTTCTGATTCGATACCAGTGATTAAAAATGTTGCTGAAATGGCATGGTTTTTCCCTGAGCTTCCGGGTGCTCTCCCCATAGGACCCCACCAATGGCCCTAAGGCAGTCCCTAGATGCTCATCTGATCGTAATTCAATGCCTAAAACCCGTTAGATTATGGGGTCTACGCCCCCTTTACCCCACTCCAATTAGCGACGTGCATGCCAGTGTCACAAATAAGGTATTAAAATATGCTCATCCGACCGTATTCAAATGCCTAAACCCCTGAGCTTCCGAGGGACTGGCCCCTGGATGCTAATCTGACCGTTATTTAATGTCTATGGGGCTACGCACCTTGACCTCCGCCAGGGCTTTGCCCCTGGACCCTACGCCAATTTATGCTCCACTTGCTTCGCTCGCTTTGCTCTATACCTGATCGTAAATACTTTAGACCCCTCCCCCCCCCCCCACTTTGAAAAACATTCCGCGGGGCCTGCATGTATCATGTAAGAGCGGGGTTGATGCAAATTTTTTTCCTGCACCCCGGACGTTTTTGCTCCTTACGGCACTGCTCCATCGTCCCTCGCATCCCCTATCCCCCCGGTCATGAAAAGAAATCGCCGCCCCAGCTCGTGTCTGTCAGACTTGGCACTCCTGGCGCTCCCGATCTCCGGCTCCCCCCTGCTTTAGCACGGTTGCCATTCCGGCGGTATAGCATTTCAAGGAATCAATTCCTGCCAGGTACCCAATTACATTTCCATCACCTAGGTAGAATTTGGCAATGTAGATTAGTGCCGCGGCGGCACTCGAACCGAGGAACTTGTGATCCACAGTCAGGTGACGTATCAACTCTACCATGGTACCTCTACAGTTCTGTATTTTTTGTTATCATATTTGTCTTCAAATCCTTTTATTTAGGGGGGAATCTTTGCAGAAGTGTGTTTTAAATGAAATCCTCTTTCACAATATGATACCATTTAATTGAAATTTTACCATCAGATGTTTTGCGAATTTGGGGCTCCCAACACTTTAGAGGGGCTTTAAGGTTGGGGTTAGGTATAGGGCTGGTTCTATATGGTCAGGTTAGAAAATCGGTTACTCTAGGAATCTGACAAGGAGCAATAATTGTCGAAGGAACAATAATGTACAACCCGGCGAACTTTAATATACTGATGACCAAAAACCCTCTATACACAGATTTTGGCGAACTTGGTTTCAATTAGTTACAACATGGCGCATAGTCTTTTTTTGTTTGTTTGAACAGCTCAGAAGTATTCGCCATATTGTGCCCAACTCAACCTGGGTTGGCCAAACTCTCCTATCAAATCAATGGCACTGTTCTGACGGTTTTGCGAAACGATGCACTGACTTACATAAGGTTGTTCCGAGACCCTTGAGATTTTCTAGATCATCTCTCATTGAGTTACTGAGGTCCATAGCGTAGTAGAGATCGACCGGATAGTCCGCGGCTTGGCGCACGTACAACCGTATGTCGATCGGCTCGTCTGAAAAATGAAAATGTAATTAGTTATAGCTAGATGTTAATGCCCCCCGCCAAAGCAAAAAGGCAAGAAAGGAAGCAAAAAACCGACAGCAGTATTAATTTGTGATGTAAAGCGCAATGAGCATTCTTATTTTTTTGTATTTAGCGCTATATAGAAAGGATTTTTTTTTCGGGGAGGGGGGGGGGAGGACTTGAAAAATTAGGTGGATGATAAGTGAGGGAGAAAAAGGGGGAGTAGAAAAGTGTTTAATCATCTCCTTTTAACACTTTGTTCCCCTTCTATCTCTGTCTCTTCTTCTTCTGCTCCTCCTCGTTCTCCCTCCTCCTCTGTTTCATCTTTTAAAATAATCTTTTGCCATTCGATTGTTAGGGTAACGTGTTAAAGCCCAGGGTATTTTCAACTGTTATTCATGGCATCATAAAGCTATAAATACGACCCAGGTACATCAACGTCATACGTTTTTTTTCTCGATTCTACGCAACGGGTTTTAAATTCGCAACATGTCATTCGGAAGTGAAAGTTCCCGCCTTCCTGTGAACTCGGAACGATCAGGCCCGTAGCCCCCCCCCCTCCCCTTCCCCAATTTTTGTTTCCTAGATCGGTTGAACGTTTTTAGACCCCTCCCCAGGACGTCGATCAATTACATGTATGTGCCCCCCCCCCAAACATCAAACTCTGGCTACGGCCCTGGGAACGATCAGAAGTGACCACGTTTTCCGCCACTTTTTCTCCTGCTAGCATGCTCAGCAAACAAGCACGACATCACATTGAGAGGTTCGACGTCCACTTGGCAAAGTTGGAAAGAAAATTGCAGCGATGAAATTAAATCCCTGTACCAAATATGGTACTCACCTGGCATTATTTTATACGGGTAAATATGTTAACTTATGTGGCAGGATTAGAGTTATAGATTAGGAACGATTACGCTCATATAATCAAGAAAGCGAGGTAATTTTTGTTTTGGATTTTTTAAAAATAAATTCTGGATAGCATCTGAAAACCTACAAACCATACATACTTGCATCTGAAGGAAAAACACAACAAAAACATTTTATACAATCATGATGAAGAATACAACAGTGAATTTTGTAAATGCTTGAAATTATTCCTTTTCTAAAATCATTTCTCCCCCTCTCTCCTTCTCCCGCTACGTACACTCGTACGCACAGACAGCTATTTAAATTGCGGGTATTTTTCACAGTCTAAACGATCGCCTTCGAAGCTATGTAATCATATTTAATACAAAGTCTTTGTTAAGTGCCTCATTACAAATTATTTCATTCACCTTTTACGAATAACTTCAATAGTCAGATTGAAATTGCATATATTTGTTGTTGCTAGGTAGTGCATCACCTAACAACACGTAATAATATAATTCGCGTTATGACTATACTGGAATATAATTATTTGTAACAGGTAAATGAAATAATTTTGCAACGAGGCACTAAACAAAGATTTAAGCATTACATTTGATTACATTTAATACGAACTGATAAATTATACTTACTTGGTCTTACTTTGATCTTCATCCTCTGAGGCTTGACTTGAACGATTTCATCTAGATCAGCGTTTGCCTCACTCAGCGGGTCGTCCTATTGGAAAGAGAGAAACGAATCAGTATATATCCTGGTTATAAGTGAGATAGAACAGTACAAACTATTTCGTGAAGTAAAATATGCAAGTATTCTATTCAACGAATCTTTCTCCATTTGTCTAAATGCTCGCATTGATGGTCTCTCACTCTCTTGGAGAAGCTTCTTGGGATTAGTACTGATTGGTATTAGAATGAAACTAGAAAACATAATATCCTGCATAAAAAAAAAATTGGTTTTTGACTAGTTAAGAGCTCGTCACGTGACCAGAAATATTTCAACTATAAGGTTGCACTAAAAAAAATATTTATTTGGTAGTACTTTTGGGGAATAAAACTATTTTGGATTTCCCCCCCCCCCCTTCAAATCTTAAAATAATAATCTATTCTTAATTTTAATTATTTTTTGATAAAAAAAACTGGATTAAAGAAAAATAAAGAATTTGCAGGATATAAAACAAATAAACCGTGCCTTCTCTTCGAGGTACTGGTTAAAACTATGTGCCTCGGTGACTCCAATAGTACCATTTACTTCGTGGCCCTCAGCAATTAGAACTATTGGAGTCACCGCATATTTGTATACAGTGTATATTTGTATACTATTTTTTATATGCAACTGTTCCATTCAACGAATCGTTCTCCATTTGTCACGCTGAATGCTCGCACCGACGCGCAACGGTCTCTTCTTAGGATTGGTACTGATTGGTATTGGAATGTGAATAGTACACAAATATGTAATGCTTACGGGGGAGATGGTAAATTCCATTTCAAGAGGTGGAATATGCGGCTACTTTTCTATTATACTTGTTTGCCAGGATCAGGAACACGTACGCCCCCAAGGGAATATACATGCTATTGATCCACCCCGCCCCTCCAAAAACCCAAACACAAACAAACACAGACGCAAACGAACAAAACAAAACAAACAAATCTCTCTCTCTCTCTCTCTCTCGTATAACCAATCTTCCTCACGCTGTTTTAAAGTGGGTCATCTTCACTCGCTTTAGATCTGGTCATTCCTTCTTTGCTTTCTCTATTTCTTTCTCGGTCTATTTCACACTCCCTCTCTCTCTCTCCCCCCCCTCCCCTCTCTCCCCCTCTCTTTCCCTCTCTCCCTCTCTCTCCCCCTCTCTCTCTCTCGGTCTCCTCCTCTCTCTCTCTCTGTCTCCTTCTCTCTCCGTCCTTACCCCTTCTCTCTCTATTTCTCTTGGAATGACGATCACTTGGCTTTGCTTTGATGCCATTACCAAAGCACACACCTGGGGCGAAAGGTGTGTTCAACGTGCATTAAAAAAAAAAAAATCATATTAACGAATTAATATGGGTGATTACGATTGATGTTTGATAGCATTTCGTCATGACAGTAAGCTAACACAACTGCGTATAAACATGGCATCTCAACTCAAGCGCATCCGGATATTAATTGGACCGTTTATTGATTTTATTTTATTTGTTTGGATTGTTTTATTTATCTAGCAACGAATAACCAACAGCGGCCATGAAAAATATTAACGTGGTAAACCTTACCTTCCTGTTTAAAAGGAATTGTTATCCTGGCGCTGCGTTTGGTAATGAATTATATATGTAAAAATTGATTTAGAAAACGATATGGCCTTTGTTTTTATGTAATAATGTAGTATAATCGTCTCATAAACATGTACAACTGACTATGAATATTCTACCAGGGAAATGACAGTTTCGTGATTGAACAAACAAGACTTCATACTAAAATTGAAATATTAAAGACAATATACGCATATCCGCCTTCAACAAAAAAGGAGCAGAAAGTTTGTGTAACATCGGAAAAAGTGAATATTAGTATTGCTTGAGCAACCGTTGAGCCAGACGACAATTTGCATTCAGCCAAATTGTATTCAGCATCATTCGTGATCGGTTGGAACTGCAAATACGGGTTTGAACACTTATTTAAGGGATCACTTCAAATGACAGAATCACAGAATGGATCTCAACGCTGAAAATAATGGAACTAATTAGTCTTTAAAGAGAGATTCAACCACTGCTTTGGGATGGATTCCACTTTAATTATGACCCGGATTCAACTCCAAAAGAAGTAACTCCTGAAAAGGTTTAGGGTTAGTTTTTAGTGTCAAGTTTAATGTGTGGTCCACGGATGAAGTTTGGAATTCGATTACGTAAAAAAATTGACCGACAAATAATGGTTGCCAAAGCAATGGTCACCGGTACACACGTCGCAACACAGAATCAATCAGTTTGTTAGCAACATCATTTTCAATAAATTGGAGGGAAAAATAGAATACCGGAAAACTCCTACTATTGTTTACTTAGTACGTGACTCACAATACGTCATCAATTTGCTGAGCAGAATTTAGATGACTTTTCATGTCTGCTCAACTACGTTAACCACAAGGTATTTTCAAATAACAATAACCCACGTGCCGGTTTATCAACGTGGACGAGAATACAAAAGACAACTGTACGATTGCAAACTTTGCAAAATACATTACCTGATTCACTATCAAATTTAATGTTTGTCATGCTTTACGACCACTTCTCTATTGTTATTTTGATAGTATTCGTCGTCTTTAATCAGTGACGATGGGACAGTTTTCAATTTATTGTAATTTCCGACTTAAAAAGGCCAAAGATAGTTCATATTTATAACAAAGAATGTTGTGAAATTGATGTTATAAGAAGCCTCCAGTCACCAATACACGAAACAAACACTGAACGATGCTTGATTAGAGGTGACTTTATTGGTCAGTGTGATTAGAGCATGAATGATGACCAGCATTACATGTTGTGTTATTTTTCATTGATTTATTTAATCTATATCATTTCTTTCGTCAGTTTTATGTAATGAGCAACATTTATCCTTTCTTCTTTTTAGTTTATTTTTTTAAAAATCTAATACAAGGAACATACATGGAAAACAATCAAAATATGCAACAAACTTATACAGCTAAAGCCACAGACTATATGTAGTGGTTACGAGTCTTTGTTTATGTTTTGGGGACATGCTGCAATCCCCTACGTCACATTATTTCGGGCGTTCTATTGGTTTTATTAGGACGAGAAAATGAATGATGAAGAAGAAGAAGAAGAAAAAAAAGAAGGTATTTTTGTGTTTGTTTTTACGACTTAATTAACAAATCTGAATAACCTTTTCCGAATTCCTGAGGTCATAAGCTTTTCATTGATACATAGTTTTATTTCTATAGAATAGCTGCTTTAACCAAAACATCCAGTATCTGGGTATGGAAGAAACAAGACTTCGCAACTGCCCCCCCCCCCCTGCCTCCCCCCACCCCCACTTCCGGCGCCTATGGAGACAAAAGCAAATAGCATGCCCTGTATGTTGGGGTGTCACTTACTTGTGTGGCATCGGCAGATGCAAGAGGATTGGTGATGTTGCTGCACCCAGCGTCTTGCAAGCGGCTTTCAAGATCGCATCTTCGCCCCTGGAATGTCTGGAAGAAGAAAGTGGTTGAGAACATCATAATAGGGACTTTTAGATTTGCACAACGACAACGTGGATTACTACGATCGACGTCCTTTTAATGCACTGCCTTGAATGGACGTCACACGTATCAGTCCACGCAAATCTAAAAGTCCCTACTAACTGTTACAATATTATCATTATTATCATTATCATCATCAATATCGTCATCCACATATAACCCTAACAATAAAAATGATGAAATCGGGTGAAATCAATGATTATAATTTCTCGGAATAAGGCTTGGTAAATCATGCGACATTTTATTTGGTCTCGATGAATCCGAGTGGCCTGGCTTATGAATAACAGTTCTCTATTTCAAATCATATTCCTGCAGTTACCGTATTCCTATTGAGTGGGAAATTAAGGTTTGCAAGAAAAAAATATTACAAAATTATTAATGTTCACATTAATCCCGTAAAATGCAGCAAAAATAACAAAAATTAAAGAATTACATTACAATTTCATGGGTTTGAACCCTTTCTCCCACCCCCTTGTTGTCGCCCCTGTCTCTCTGCGTCTATGTATTTTTGGAAGTGTCTCCATCTATCGATCTGTCTCTCCTCTGCACAATTTTAATGTAATTTGTGTTTCTACTCTCTTCTATCCCTCTCTCTCACTCTCTCTCCCTCACTTTCTCTCTCTCTCTCTCTCTCTCTCTCTCTCTCTCGGTATTTTCAAAGCCTCTTTCTTTCTCCTTCTCTCTTCCTCTAATAAGAATAAGAATATAATCATAATAATATCAACAACAACAATAATCATAATGATAATCATAATTATGATACTAATGTCAATATAACTTACATCTTCCGTACACCATGTACAATCTGGATTCACTGTTATACATTCTCCACAGTTCTGGGCTCCTTGACAGATCGAGCTGAGCTCTTCATCTATGAGGAGAGTATAAAAACAAAACAAAGTTACGAATCGATGTTATGAATATGCAAACAAATCTATTGGTTAATGTTTATGATGGGCGAAGTTTCAAATCATTTGAACATCGTAATGACGTAACATTTTTGTTTTAATAGCACTTTCTTCACCCACATTTGTGGTAAATTTGAATTCAGTGTATTCATAGTCGAGTCTAACTCACGATATTTCCTTCGAAAGGAAATTCTAAACATGTTATTATATTCAACAACAGCCCAAAAAGATTTGTTAAATGAAAAGGAAAGTGAAACTGGAATCGCTAAATACAGAATTACCACGTCATGGAAAGTTTTGAATCAAACATTCAACGCTATGAAGGAGTCAGACTAAAACCACATTTTCCTATTTGTAAAGTAATACTTAGTGAAACATACACTGAACATATTTATTACAAAAACAACACATGAATTCTTAGGACTGGAACATTTAATGAACATGAATGAGGATTGTTGAAATGGGTTTTAGGTGAATGCATAAGTTGGTATATACATGATATACAATACTTGCATATATGTTCAAGATGTTACCCTCACAAAATCGAGGAGTGGATTATGATCATGAAAGCAACGTACTGCCACGCAGCCACGTCTATTAGTACGGAAATACATGCATTTCAATATGCATTTTTATGCATTTCGGTTCTATACCAGATTCCAGATCATATCTATTATCTTAGCACAGGTATTTCAACTGTCATGATTTATGTTTGGAACAGGTTATATTTCCTTCTCTGATAAATATAGAAACGAATAATATAAACAAACATATTCAAATGAAAATATGGGTTGTAAATTACTATAGATAAAAAACACTTTTATTATCATGAAATATAGCAAGAGTCAGGAAGATGGCGACAAAAACTTGATTTTCTTTAGCCTAGATTTTAGGCCAAACAAGCCAATCCAAGCACTCAGTTATATACATAAGAGCCCCACCCCCTCGTTTCCCCAATGTGGCTTTATTTCATTTTCAATCAATTCTAGAACTGAGCTCCTAGCTCATATATTAGTTCGTGGAGATGATATTTAACAGCATTGATGACCTAATCACGTTTTTCAAATCTTCCATTTGGTGTGCCGATGATAGGTGAAAATGTCTGATTTTTTTCTCGAACTTTATCAAACTATATCAGAGACATACACAATAATACATGCGTCCCACCTTAACCGGGATTTTAAAAGAGAATGATGAGTTCTGTTATGTTTAATAGATTTATTAGGTTTTTTTAAACCAAACTCATTATGTACATTTCATTTTGCATATAACTCACAATACCAATTCTTACTATATTTATACAAAATTTCCCAATGACTGTGTGTATTGATGTTGTTTTATTGGAAGCATCAGTCATTTTTAACAATATACAACGATGTACATAGACGAGTCGGTGATTATCTCTTTAATACGATTCGAAAGAGTTCACGTTCATCAGAGCGTTTAAGTGCTTTATAAGCTGTGTATAATAGTTTATACGAGGTATTATAGTCCCCTTTGACTGTCTGTGCGTTGTGTTATTATCATCGATGACAAGGAGATACAGATTGGGCATGTGATACCAAGCGCAGGAGTCTATAGGTTGGACTGCAGTTGAAAATTTGTGAACGATCACAAAGAATGACGTGATCATGGTGATAATATATCTTTCATTTTTCACCTCGAGACCATTCAAAACACGGTCCATGTGGAAATCGTTTTTTTCTTTTCTCCTTTTTGGTATTCATTTGGAGAACAGAAAAGGATTATTTTACTCCTTTTTCTACAGTTTGTTAAACCATTATGAGAGTTCATTAATTCATTCAAATCACACGATACATCGACCCATAATCAATTTTCTTAAACCAACATAAAATTGTGAGGGAGGCAATTGTTTTTCCGAAAATGGCCAACAGTCCTTGAACTTGCCCCATTTATGACATAATCGGAAGCAATTATTGTGAGCAAATATTTCTACTTATATGTCCTTCCTGATTAGGCATGTGTGGGATTGTTTTAGTTATGAAGTCCATGATTATTATGAAAATCACTGATCTTCAACAATGATTGCTTTATTTCAACAAGGAAATGACATGCATGATCGAGGAAGTGCAATGTTGATTGACATAATTATACGGTAATATCTTTTTCTGAAACCTTTATTGATTTCGATTTCGATATGATTTGTTTCTCTCTCACTTGAATGAAAATATATGAGCACATCTGAAGAAATTATTCGTTTCTTTGTGTTAAAAAGAAAAGCGATTCCTTATTAGGTAACAAGGCTTTCATCTTGTGAATTCTCTCTTTATCTCTCTTAATTTGTATCCCTCTGAGCTGCTCTTTACCGGTACAATTTAATTTTACAGCAAAATATTAAGTTATCATGGGAATGATGTGGACTTCAGAGAATGAAACGAAATTTAGTGACTGCACTGAACTCTCACTGAATGATACTTCAGACACAGCCTTGCAAAGTTTCAATAGTTTGTTATTATTTTGCTGATCAATTATAAGGTCGACCTCCAATGTTTACAAATAATTTGTTTTAAAGTGCTTAAAAACATAATATCGATGGGATTGAAAAGAAACAAAAAGTACTTCAGTGTGCTAACATTAAAGTGCACCTCGTTGTAAGCTTGATTTCTGAGTGCATTTGAGGTAAAGTGATAACATTTCCAACAAACTTCATAATATTCTTTGCGAAAAGGCAAATTGCAAAGGACGCCGTGTAAAGAAATGGGTTATACGAGATCCGCCCAGACGAGAACTACCGTTTAGCACCGGACTTTATTTCGTCAACGATAAAGGGCTACGGTTCGAGTTGTAGATGGGTTTTATGTTAGGTCTAGGGAAATGGTTAGGGGTAGTTGAGTCTAAAGTAAGGAATTCGAAGATGTGATACACACGAGGCGTTATTACCTGACGTAGGGCAGCGTCAGTGACTGGTGCCGTCTTGGAAGCACCGTTTGACAAGAGTATCATACAAGGCGTAAATGTGAAATGAAGAGTGTCAAAATGCGTTGAACTATCGGCTTATGGACTAACTGCTGTAAAAATCAGGCTCGGTTAGCACAAGTAATAACGTATACCGAAATGAAGTATGAAACAGGCGCCGCGGAGAAAATTATCATCGAAGCATAAGTCATACGTTATACTATGCTATCAACATGATCAAGGAAACTGAAAAATTAAAACATGTACAAACTTACTTGCGTGCACTGTGAAAACTCCTAGGACGAATGTAAGAAAGAAAACGACTACACTCCCAAGACGGTTTAGCCTGTGTGGTGACCTGACTGACGGCATTTTCAATGATTTATCTCTCCTTCAATTTTGGCGGGAATATATCCTCTTCGTGTCGTCTGCAAAGACAACTTTTCAAAACAAGTCGATTTTTATCGCGGTTTATAGCAGTCCTTTCAACCCGAACCCCATTAAGATGACAGGGCGCTGCAATCAGGTGAATAACAAATGTCAGTCTGTTTAAAAAGGGGTAAAACGATTGTAAATTTTAAGAATAATCAAGAATAATCTTCAACTAAGAAAGAGGGAAACTGTGTAGGCAGTCCGAGTTCCACCAGTACCACTGTACAAGAACCGACGTGTACTGAGGAAAAAGTACATATACTGACATGTCACATTCCGTGAAAAAGCGATGAGTATCATACAGGAAAATGATGATCGTAATCGTGATCTTCTTTTTCAGATCACAGTAAGCTAACACAAATGCGTACAAACATGGCATCTCAAACACACCAGGATGTTAATTGGACCGTTTATTGATTTTATTTAATTTGTTTCGATTGTTTATTTATATATCAACAAATAACCAACCGCGGCCATGAACAAATTAATCTGGTAGATTTTACCTTCCTGTTTAAAAGGAATTGTTATCCTGGCGCTGTGTTTGGTAATGAATTATACATGTAAAAGGTGATTGAGAAAACGATATGGCCTTTGTTTTTAGTTAATAGTATAAGCGCCTCATAAACATGTACAACTGAATATGAATATTCTACCAGGGAAATTACATTTTCATGATTGTACCGACAAGATTTCATACTGAAATTGAAATAACAATAACAAGTTTTCTTTTTTGTTGTTGGTAATATTACATCGGTTAGTTTAAGAACACAATATTAGTATATATTCTCTCGTCAAATGCCAGCACACTTCGACAAAGTTGAAAAATCATACACGATTCTCTGAAGTCCTCGCTTAGCGAAGACCAATTCATGAAAATGATGGCTCTTTCATGAGCCTCTTCGCCTATATTGTATCTGCCGCTTATGTAAATACAAGTCATGTAATGCCTATATGCAAAATGATTTTCACAAGCAGTTTTTTTTGTCGTTGATTTAAGCGTTCATATAAGCCTACGACCATAACTTGCATATGTTGAATAAATGATATTTTGTTCAGAAATGACATTTAAAATGTGTAATGTGTATACATATACATTATGATTTGTACATATTTTAAACGTATACAATACAAAATATCTAAAGAAAGAGCTAACCAATAGCCTACTCCACTTTATGCAAAAAACAAATATATACAGTTGTTGTTATTTCATACACACACACACACACATAGCACGGTATCCCGCAAAAAGTTTTACATTCCAAATTAAAATATCTGCGTTTGTTGGTCATTTACGATGAGAAGCAGGCGATGCATGCGCTTCCTGTAAATGCTGCTTCGCTATATTAAACTGACGGACAAAATGCAGTTGTAAATTATACCTACATATAAGTTTCAGGGGATGAGCGAAAATACGCAGGCGTTGTATAGTAGTATAGTTGTATAGATGTACAGTTTCATGCGTTCTGATTGGTTAAAACTACTAGTCTTTTCATTTTTTTTTTACAAGACTGTCTTTATTAAACTGAAGAAAAAAAATATATAAACAAATCAAATGATAATTAACTTTCCCAATGTATAAATACAAAACGAAATTACAATGTAACAAGGCCGTCACCATATACTAACTTCACTCAATAAGCTACTCCGTATAGGATTAGTCCTACGCTTAAAAATAAATTATGATCCCGCTACCTTTATTCAATGTACTAATAATAATAATTATCCTTGCTTATAGCGCCTAACACTTACTTTATCAGAAGTCTCTAAGCGCTCTACAATAATGCAGCATAATTACCCTGGCTTTAGCAGTGCAGTGTAGATGATGTTTGTTTTGTTTTTTTAATTTTAATTTGACAATGATGTTGAGTTGATTTGATTTTGATTCAAATTGATTTCATGAAATATGCATACAAATTGGGAATATCTATGGGTAACCCCAATAACAAAAAACTAATCACACATTTTTTGATGCATTTGATTAGTGTTTGCATAACATAATTAATATAAACAAACTTACTCAAACGAAATGGGATCAATGCAAATACAAATAGCAATGTTCAGGCGATATTTCTACTACGATATATACTTTTGAACTATTCAACAAACGAAAACAAATTGGAATGCTAGCAAAATATTTGCACCCTTACCAACTGAAGCTTCTCTTTATGGACACGCCCCCTCCCACTCCAACTTGAATTCAAACTATATTTTCCCCGGGATATTTTCACAGTCGGACTCTGGATCTGGAAATGGAACGAGACGGTAGGTTGTTAACCCGCTTTCTTGCTTAATGTTCCTTTACTCAACAACTTCCTTTCCCCCTCCTTACCCCCTCCGATACCAAACTGAAGAAGAGAAGCCCTTTCCAGCATGAGGCTAAGAATTCCCCTTTGTGTACACTGGAAGTTTTCTCCTCTTTAAGTTATCCTTACTAAAGGCTTTAATCTCCAACCGAACCTTTTTATTAACACTTTGTATGTTTTTGTTATGGGCACGTTCGAAACTTCATTATCGTTATTCGAATTGACGTAAAACTAAAATAAAAAAGGTCATAGAAAAGATAATCTCAACATAATACTGGCTTGATAGAGAGTACTCTCAGTAGCTTATAAGTCCGTCAATTTCACAAAGTTACATTTCTACTCCTACACTGTTAATGTATAGCAAACTATTCTTTTTGCTACATATATTATACTTTAGGTTGACAGCCAATACATCTACTGTCACTATGAAAGCTTCATAAAATGTCAAAGTCACATTATTCCCTGTTAAAACAGCAGACAAAGCACAATTCATACCATTATTATGTAATACTTACAAAACACTTCACATATCAGTGGGGTATGATATCGTTTAATAACAAATGAACATCTAGTACGAATACATGAAACAATTTTTTTTAAAGCTTTAAAGCGAAAGAAAAAGAGAGTGACACGATGGCTAAATAATTAGAGTGAAAGAGGAAGAGATACAGAGTTAGAATCGGGGGGGGGGGCAGGACAGAGAGAAAGGGGTGGCTAAACATGAGAGGGAGTTAGAATGGGGGAGGGAGGCAGGGCAGATAGCCAAGATGGAGTGGCAGTAAACAGGTGGGGATGAGGGAGAGTGAGTTAGAAGTGGGGTACGGGACAAAGAGAATGAGGGGGTGGCTGAATAAAAGGGGAAGAAGGAGAGAGAGTTTGAATGTAAGAGACCGCTCCCAGTGGACGCTTTATTGAAATATGAGCGTATTATTATAAAAGCGATATAGATTGAGTATTTAACTTGACTTGCTTTAGTCGTGATTATTATGTTTTCCCTTTCAAAAAGAAGACATAAAACATAAAACATCACGCTCTGCCAAATGGATACACATTTTTTTTTTAAATATGACTTACGAAACATTGTTAATTCATGCATAATACAGACATTACGCAAAAAAAGCCGACAAATCGATTGTTTTAAATTATAGCGATCTAAAGATCATGCTGTTCCCGTCAAAACGTTTTGTAAAAACATGTATCTAAACATTTTGCAAAAGAAAGTCGATGTTTAAACAAACGATTCACCCAATGTCCAGAACAAACCTAAACGTATAGCGCATATAACGTCTAGAGTATATAGAAGGGGGTGGGGGTTATTACATTCGCCGCTAATTCCCAATTGCTTTAAATGTACTTAAACTCACATGAAATGTAGATTATTATATACCTCATCGAATACAGGGTGCACAAATTCTAGCAGCCGACATTAAAAAGGTCTTATTTGAGCGCATATCAACCAATGTCTAGAACAAACCTAAACGTTTGGCGCATATAACCTCTAGAGTATATAGAACGGGGAGGGGGTTAATACATTCCTTGCTAATTTCCCATTTGCTTTAAATGTGCTGAAACTCACATGAAATGTAGATTATTATATACCTCATCAAATATAAGGTGCAAAATTCTAGCAGCCGACAACAAAAAGGTCTTATTTGGGCGCATATCAACGAATGTCCAGAACAAACCTAAACGTTTGGCGCATATAACGTCTAGAGTATGTAGAAGGGGGTGAGGGTTAATACATTCGTTGCTGATTCTCATTTGCTTTTAAAGTGCTGAAACTCATGTGAAATGTAGATTATTATATACCTCATCGAAAACTGTGTGCAGAAAATCTAGCCGCCGACATTAAATAGGTTTTATTTGAGCGCATATCAACCAAGGTCCAGAACAAATATTTTCGTTAATAGCGAATAACGTGGAGAGTATATCGGTGAACGGGGTTTTGGCCTTTAATACATTCGCCGCTAATTCCCATTCGCTTTAAATGTGCTTAAACTCACATGAAATGTAGATTATTATATACTTCATCGAATACGGGGTGCACAAATTCTAGCAGCGGACATTAAAAAGGTTTTATTTGAGCGCGTACCAACCAATGTCCAGCACAAATCTGAACGTTTGACGCAAATAACGTCTAGAGTATATAGAAGGGGGTGAGGGTTAATAAATTCCTTGCTAATTTCCCATTTGCTTTCAATGTGCTGAAACTCACATGAAATGTAGATTATTATATACCTCATCAAATATAAGGTGCACAATTCTAGCAGCAGACAATAAAAAGGTCTTATTTGAGCGCATATCAACCAATGTCCAGAACAAACCTAAACGTTTGGCGCATATAACGTCTAGAGTATATAGAAGGGGGTGAGGGTTAATACATTCGCCGCTAATTCCCATTTGCTTTAAATGTGCTGAAACTCACATGAAATGTAGATTATTATATACCTCATCGAATACGGGGTGCAGAAAATCTAGCAGCCGACATTAAAAACGTTTTATTTGAGCGCATATCAACCAATGTCCAGAACAAATATTTTCGTTAATAGCGAATAACGTGGGGAGTATATCGGCGAATGGGCTTTCGGGCTTTAATACATTCGCCATCCTATCCCACTTGCTTTAAATGTGCTTAAACTCACATGAAATGTAAATTATTATATACTTCATCGAATACGGGGTGCACAAATTCTAGCAGCGGACATTAAAAAGGTCTTATTTGAGCGCATATCAACCAATGACCAGCACAAACCTAAAAGTTTGGCGCATATAACGTCTAGAGTATATAGAAGGGGGTGGGGTTAATACAT